ACAGGTTTTGGTTATGCACTTTAACTAGAAGATTCATATAAACGGTATCTTATCTTTATCTTTGTAATCTTTTTCCCAGTCTGAACGATATGTGAGACTAAATGAGATCCTCCAGGAGAACTCACGGGATGCCGCTCTTATTGCAATGTAAGTAGTAAATGAGTAAAATGTAATCTGCCAATATACATCAAACATGCTATGTCTATTAAAATACCTTCAGCAACATTTTTTTTTTTAAACTGGCAATATAATGCTTAGGTTTCTGTTAGAAATTTCAGACGAGCAAAAAACAATTTGCAGGGCCCCTAACCCTCCATATATATCTGTGAATATTAATTTTGTGATAATAGGAAATACCTATTTCCTATGCTCCTTAGCTCCACCTAGTGGCCCTAATGTAGTATTACATCACAATAGATTCAACCTGAAAAGAAAACATGAAAAAAATAATTTTTGACATTATTCGCACAAAACTAATGTTCACAGATATACGCAGGGCAAAGGGCCCTGCTAACTGTTTATAAATAGACCCCTTTATGTTTGACAAGCCATAGACAAGAAATCTCCCACTAAATTTTATACTGAAGCAGCACAGTAGCTCTTGGGGAGGGATTTTGAGTACTGAAAACAAACTGTTGACATCTCCCCATACAGTATATCAGGCCTCTTAACTATGCATATTGGTTAACCTGACCCTAACACTTAACCCTACCCAATCTCCCACACTGAACCACTGAAATCCTTTTTATAACCCTTACTCTTAACCTAAAGCTTATCAGTAACCTTAACCTGAAATGTAACACTTCACCTAAAACCTAACAAAATGAGAACCCTCATCTCAGCCCCAACATAATCCTTACAATGAAATAATATCTGTGATGCCATACTTTAGTTACTGGGTGTCAGAGCCAAGATAACAGTCCTGCATCGTGGTTTTATAGTACTTAGATCTCAGCATCAAAAGCTACAATTTTTTTGAATGATGGCTCCTTCCTACAGCTGCACATACTTCAGTGGTTAATTACTTTCAGGGAGTAGCTGCAGAGGCATGGAGAAGTCACAATACTAAGAGACCTAGAATACCGTAAAGAGGGGGTAAGGGTAGAGCATAGGTAGCTAGGAGGTTGTAGTGCACAGAAACTTGAGAGAAGCAATATAAAGCTTACATCATGGCCCAATTGGGCCGTTGTTTTGCCATTTCCTATTTCCGAGTCCTAAGCATTTGAATAGTAATGTGACATTGACACACTAACAATGGGTGTTACTGAAAGTTTGTCTTATATAACATCACTGACCGCGTTGCAACCAAACATCTTTTGATTCTATTTGCAGAAGCCTTCCAATTGCAAGCAAATGGACCTGCCCATGTTCCTTGTATATGGCCTGGCTAGAGATGTTATCGCATGACTTAGTCTCACCAGTTGTCTTCATCCGTGGTAATCAGCAGGACACACTCACAATATACTGCCAGTGAGCCAGATGCAATCACAGAGTAATGTAAAGACACCCAAGTGGCTAAAGTCAATGTTTCAAGATGTTATTTTATGTAAATGAAAACATTTATTTTGAGAGAATTTAAGGGCAATTATTTGTATTCATGTTGTAAGAAAATCCTTACTTTAGGATCACTCCAAAACTGTAATTATCAAATAACTTGCTTACAGTAGAATATAGGTGGCAGGGAAGTCTTTGTACACATACACCAACAGTAATGTAAAAGTTATACTTTTAGCCTGCAGTTATATCAAAATTAATTTCCTGACAACTAAAAAGGTATTTAATATGAGATGTGTTCTTCGTATTATATGAATGGGGTTAAACTATGAAACTGGAGGAAAGACAAATTAGAAGCATTGTCCATAGCGCCGGAACTTTAGCTTTCATTTTCTAGTAGACTTAAAAATACACAACACACCTTACCAAATGTTGTGGCCAACTCTTCCATTTCCCCTTTGCTCCAGTTTTATTGTAGATTTCTAGAAAGGTGGGTTAGCTTGCCAATTTAATCAAATAAAATATAGCTAAATTTGCTTGTTATTATGCTCTCTTTGTAAACCTGTATTATATCTTGTAAATAGCGTGGGAATGTGTTTGTAATAAATTTGCTGTACAACTATCATGTAGTTTGAATTCCATTTCAGAAAATGCTACCAGCTGTAAGACCTATGCATGTCACAGGGCTTTTGTAATCATCCTCTATCACAAATCTTACAGAGGTCTGAAGTTGTTGATATATTCCAATTGCACCTTGAGTTCTCCACCATAACGTTATATTAAAAAAGCACTGGCTTGCTAGGCTACACTCTTTTCCAGGTGTAATTGCCAAGCCATGGTCCAAAATGGATGTAACCCAGTAAGAGCTTGTATAAGCATTATGCATTGCCTCTGCACCCATCTGAGTGTTCCTATGTGCACCAGTTCCTAGATGGTTCCTCTGCTGCCACTAGTGTTGGTTTTTAGTCCAGCTTTACATGATCTAATTTAAATCTCAGTCTAGAAGGACCAGTCTTATAGTATTCTATGGCTATTCAGAAGTGAAGACAAATTGCAGTTGTGAAGTTTAGGTAATATACAGTATATGAAACTCTGGATGGGTTGAAACACTGTAGGATTACCAATATTCATTTACTGCTAGGAATAGCATGGGGCTTACTCCCCTTCCTCTCATGTAGCAGAGCTGTATTGTACTAGTGTCAGTAGCTAAATGTGCCCCGATAACAGTCTTCTGCAATCTCCTGGTCAGCAGAACTAAGACTGGGAGTTAATCAGGTTGCAGACATGGAGATTTGAGTGTGCAGAGCGCCAACCCATCTATGAGCTGCTGCTTTATATTTAATCAGCAAGCCGAGCCGGGGGGGTGTTTTAATCCCAGGTTTATAACAAATCTGTGCTGCTGGAGTGTTGGTCAAGGATCTGGCAGGTGTGTCTGGCTCTCAAAACTGGCTGCACAAAACTGTGAAACCTTTGGCAGGTTAAACAATTCCCATAATGGTATTTCAAATAAATATTTAGCTAGTTTACTGAGGTATGCCTCTAATAGAAGTGTACACTGAATATGATCATACAGGCTCCAAATCAATAAAAGAAAATATGTTTTAACATTTTATTATGTAAGTACAGACTACAGATTAGCACTCTATATTTAAAAGCATACAGTATAAAAACAAATTTTAATCACGGTGCCCTTTTGGGTGCAGGATATGCTTTAAACTCTTAAGAATGTTAAAGGTAAAAAAAAGAAGACAGACACGATAATGGGTGCATTAAAATACCCTAAACGTATCTCTCCATATTGAAAACAATACCCAAATGGTAAATCAGGAATTCTGCTAACTTGCCTGAATTTTACAGATCTGCAAATATGGCAGTGTAGACCAAAAGAAATGGGAAAGCAAGCATTATTTCCCACTATTAGGCAAGATCACTTGAGGATTCAATGTTACACCAAAAGACTGGTATACTTTACCAACCCTAATCTTTTAGCTCTATCCAACAGCAGAAAAATGTTGTCCCTTGCTTCTCTTCTCTTGTAAATGCTGCCTTCCTATGCTGACACCAAGTACAACTCACCTGGCCCACTGTCCTACAGGGTAAATAACTTTGCAACTAATGCAGCCAATTTCACTGGAAAAGAGTTTCTGGTGGCAGATAACAAGCAGCTAATAGGGCACCATAATGATAAATCTATCAGTCATTTCCATTTATTTTGTTCACAACAGGAAAATATACAGCTCTTTTCATAAGTCTTGAGGTGGCTGCAGAGATCACAAATATATCTTGATAAGTAACAATAAAGGGCAGTCTTGCTAAAATTGAGAGAGTTGTGGTTTGCTCCTCTAATGAGCCTTCATAGCTGTCTAGGAGCCCAACAGAAATAAAAGACCTGACTTGGGATTGGAGTGCCCTCCACAAAAAGATTTAACTTTTCCCATTGTACTATAGACTTTAATAAACTATAGGCTTCAAAATATATTCAGCAGTAAAGACACATTTGTAAACGTGATTCAGTGACGCAGTGACTCATAGCACCATGGTTTTAGTGTAGTCAGAACAGTAAAGTAAAACGCTCATTCACATGGTCTGTATGAGTTAACAAAACTTCCCTCTCTAAAATGTGCTGCCAATTACCGAAACAGTCAATTGTATGTTTTCACACAAAAAAAAAAAGACAACACTTTAACATAATTCCTTTGTTAAAGATTCTAACATAGGAAATGTTAGGGTGGAGTTGCTTGAAGCACATCTCCACTCCAAACATTTGCTTAGTGATACAAAACAGTTTGGTCACTGTGTTTATTCTTGAACTAGTTATCAAACGTATTCAGAAAGGGCAGAGACAAACTAGGAACCAGACAGGCTACGTGTATCTAGTGCATTTATAAAACAAGCCGGGAATAGCTAGTTACAAGAATGCATTGTAACAAAGTATCCTGAAATCCCCTGGTTAATCTCACATCAGTCTAGGGTTTCATTTACACTATTCCACCAATAGTATGGCTTTCAAGTGCTAACTACAGTATGAAAATCCTGTCAATTCATGCAACTTGTTTAGTTTAGGTTGCTACAATAGTCACTTAAAAAGTAGCTTGGCCTAGATAAAGGACACCAAAGGGAGGCTACCATACTTGACCTCTCCTTATGAAAATGCTAGTTGCCTGGCTATTATGCAGAATTGATGGTTCTGATACCTTCTAAGGCATTGACCTAAACATCACTTTCTCATCTGTACGTTAGCTCCAAGTCAGTAATGATGCCAGAGACAGTCAGGCAACCTGCATTCACAGAAGGTGTTTGCCATTGGTAGCTCTTGCATTTTTCTTGAGCAAAGCATGGTTTTATGCCCATTACACTAAAGTGGAATAAACATGATGTAGCCCTATTTGGCAGTTGCATGAAGAAAAAGCACAAGGTTTGGCTTCAATTGTCACTGCAAGACTTTTACTTTACATGGCCATATGAAGAAAATAATAAGGCCCAGAAGGACCATATGAAGAAAAGAACAAGGCCCAAAAGGCTACATTTGAATAGGTCCCTACCAGTTGGCAAAAAGACACTTCTTTGTGTTGGTTTTATATAGGAGCAGTGAAAAGCTTATTCATGGAGCACAAAATTAAACAACTGAGCAACTACATGTCTATAACCATGTATGGGGGACATTTATCTGGTGCTAGGGCTACGTTGGATCACAGTTCAGTGGCCAAAGTACTAGATAAATGCCTATATGCTGAATCGAGGTACTAACCACTTGTTTCCTTTATATAGCCATATAAAGGGTTATAGGACAGTGGTCACTCCCTAGAGCTTTGCTCCTGATCTTGCAGTCACACAAGGCTGGCCTCAAGGCTTTGGACAGGACAAAATAATCCAATCTCCAGCCCACATTCTTGGCCCGAGCATTCATCATGTAGGTCCAGAAGGTGTAGGCATAAGGCTTGTCGGGATACAGCTCACGGAAGCTGTCCAGGAAGCCTTCAGCCAACAGAGCTCCAAATCCCTCCCTTTCCTGTGGGGTGAAACCAGGAGTCTTCTTATTGGTTTTGGGATTTTTCAGATCAATCTCCTGGTGAGCAACATTTAAATCACCACACAGAATAAGTGGCTTTTTGTTGTCCAATTCCTTCAAGTAACTACGAAAGTCTACATCCCAGCGTTGGCGGTAATCCAGGCGTACCAGGCCACGGCTGGCATTGGGAACATAAGCAGCAACCAAGTAAAAAGACTCATATTCGGCAGTAATTACACGGCCCTCCTTATCATGCTCTTCAATTCCTGATGAAACAAAAGCACAAAAAACAAGTACCAATAGTTAACAAAAGTCGGTTTCTCTAATTTGACTGCTAAAGTGGAAATACAATTTAAATACCAGTTAAATAATAAACTAGGGATGCACCGATATATCGGCCGAAAATTGCATTTTTGGCATAATGCCAAAAGTGCAATTTTCCGGCCGACATTTTCTATTTTAAAAGGGAAATATCAGGGGTCTGTTTGGACCCTCAATATTTCCCAGAAGCCCCGACCAGTAAAGTAAAATAAAAAATGAATAAAAATAAAATATAAAAAAATTAGAGTTTATAAAAAATTAAAAATGTGAAAAAAATTAAAATAAAAAACATTTTTGGTATCGGTTTCGGCCTGACAATTTGTTTTTGTTTCATTTCGGTTTTAACATTTCCATTTCAGTGCACCTCTATAATAAACTTTATAGCAAAAAAAGATAATAAAACTGACCCCAAACCATTAGAATTTCCCCCTTTTTGTTTTAAATACCACAAACACTACATACAAAAGCCAGTGTGAAGAAATGTAGATCGTTCACATACCAATGCCATAGGAGACATTTAGAGGTTTCTTCTTGGACAGCATTGCCACTCCACTGTAGCCCTCCTTTTCATCAGAACAAGCCCAGTACTTGTGAGGGTACTCGGGCATTTCCTTAATATCTGCAGGAAGGGCTTTTTCTGCACACTTTGTCTCCTGCAGGCATAGGATATCAGGATCCTCCTCTCGTACCCACTAAATATAAATAAAAAAATAAAAAAGTTGGACTCTGAAATAAATTACGGAAAGGCTACGTTTATAAGCATTTATTTAAAAACTACCTACGGCCAAATATTTAATGTATAACCCCACATCTAGCACAATCAATGTCACCAATGTTATAGAGATATTGTCACCTTGCCCATTCAGGGAAAAATGACCGTGTCTCTTCCAAGGACCCTTGTACCAGTGCTACTCTGTAGCAGCCAGCAACAATATATAATGCTTTCGGGTATGGGAAGGGACATGCAACGGGGTCTTGTATCCAACTGCTATGCTTGAGCACTGTCACATGCTCCCCCTGGCTTCCAACACGGGATTTTGGTACGTCTGCAATACAGACGGAGCAGCGGGAAACCCTAACAAGCAATCAGTGGGTTTTTCTTCCTTTGCTGCTTTTGTCCTAGTATACACTATATTGCCAAAGTATTGGGACGCCTGCCTTTACATGCACATGAACTCTAATGGCATCCCAGTCTTAGTCCGTAGGGTTCAATATTGAGTTGGCCCACCCTTTGCCGCTATAACAGCTTCAACTCTTCTGGGAAGGCTGTGCACAAGGTTTAGGAGCGTGTCTATGGGAACGTTTGACCATTCTTCCAGAAATGCATTTGTGAAGTCAGGTACTGATGTTGGACGAGAAGGCCTGCTCGCAGTCTCTGCTCTAATTCATCCCAGAGGTGTTCTATCGGGTTGAGGTCAGGACTCTGTGCAGGCCAGTCAACTTCCTCCACCCCAAACTCACTCATCCATGTCTTTATGGACCTTGCTTTGTGCACTGGTGCGCAGTCATGTTGGAACAGGAAGGGGCCATCCCCAAACTGTTCCCACAAAGTTGGGAGCATGAAATTCTCAAAAATGTCTTGGTATGCTGATGCCTTAAGAGTTCCCTTCACTGAAACTAAGGAGCCAAGCCCAACCCCTGAAAAACAACCCCACACCATAATTCCCCCTCCACCAAACTTTACACTTGGCACAATGCAGTCAGGCAAGTACCGTTCTCCAAACGCCAAACCCAGACACGTCCATCAGATTGCCAGTCAGAGAAGCGTGATTCGTCACTCCAGAGAACACATCTCCACTTCTCTAGAGTCCAGTGGCGGCGTGCTTTACACCACTGCATCCGATGCTTTGCATTGCACTTGGTGATGGAGGCTTGGATGGAGCTGCTCGGCCATGGAAACCCATTCCATGAAGCTCACTATGCACTGTTGTTGAGCCAATCTGAAGGCCACACGAAGTTTGGATGTCTTTAGCTATTGACTCTGACCTCGCTCTGTCATTTTAAAAGTTGCTGTTATTCCCAGTTGCTTCCACTTTGTTATAATACCACTAACAGTTGACCGTGCAATATTTAGTAGCAAGGAAATGTCATGGATGGACTTATTGCACAGGTGGAAACCTATCACGGTACCACGATAGTATTCACTGAGCTCCTGAGAGCGACCCATTCTTTCACAAATGTTTGTAGAAGCAGTCTGCATGCCTAGGGGCTTGATTTTATATATCTGTGGCCATGGAGGTGTTGGAAAACCTGAATCCAATGATTTGGAGGGGTGGCCCAATACTTTTGGCAATATAGTGTATGTCAAATGTGTTCTGGCCTTTCAAAGAACCTGTTTGCTTCTATATTTCTATCCTGATGGGTTCCTTTCAAAACTAACCAGGATCCCTGTGTAAGTTCCGATGTGCTGAGTAAGCTGAAAACACTCTCCTGCCAAGCAGGCTTCAAGAAGTAGGAAGAGTGCTGCTCTACACCCACAATGGGAATTTTTCACCAAAAAATGACAGTTTTCAGTAACTGTTATGACCCTTTTGTTAAATAATGCCAAGTGTATGTCTCCTGATAACTGTCCCAAGAAAGAAACAAAAACAAAACCTGGAAAAGAAGAGCTATTATACTTACCTGTCCTACCACACATACCTCGGTAAGAGTATCCAGTATCTGACTGACATATGGTCCCCCGCTGAGTGACGTGGTTTCACCCACTAGCTGTTATATCACTACAGGACACAATAGCGATGTAGCAGCCGGAAAGTGAAACCACTGCACGCAGCAGGGAACCATAAATCCAACACTACCAAAAGTGTGTTGATGCTGAAGATTCTATGGCTGTTGTAGCTCCTGAAGAGAATTAAGTATAATACCTCTTCTTTAACAGGTTTTTTTTCCCCCAACACTGTTCTGCAAGGATAATAATTTGAACATGAGAGACTGTTTTCTAATTTTCCACCCTGCTATGTAACTATGACCACACTCACATTTACACCTTCTTTTTTGACCCATGCTCTGATGCCATCAACATTCCAGGAGCTTATCTTCCATGTATACTTCTTGCCATCGTCAGAAGTCAAATTATCAGGAGCATCCTCATACACTGGAACAGGTTCTGCATCCTTTCCTCCTCCCTTCTTCCCTTTCTTGTTCTCAGGTTCTGAAAGGCAAGCATGAATATGATGAAAAGTGGGGATGCCATGTCCTCATCCTGCTGAATAAGGCCATCATTGTACCTACCCTCATCCTGCACAGCCTTGCTCTTGGTATCTTCCTTCTTCCCACGTTTTGGCATTCTGGAGATGACAGGAACCAGACGTGCACAGAACAGAGTGCGGAGCGTTTTGAATGCTGTACCTGCACACATGAATTAATTATGTCAAACCAACTTCTATGTGTCTTAAGCTGGCCATAAACGTATAGATTATCTGCAGATTTTCTATGTTCAGATGGAAAAAGTGCAACAGATTCCTCCATCTATGCTCAACTGTGTGGATGGAGGAATCTACCACTGGGTCAAGCTTCAGTATCTTGCTAGTCAGCCCCGCTGGCACTCAAATACCTGAGCAATCTGATTGGATGCAGGTATTGTACAGGTGTTTTGAGAGCCAGCAGCGCCGACTAGCAAGATACTGAAGCTTGACCCAGTGGTAGATTCCTCCATCCACACAGTTGAGCATAGATGGAGGAATCTGTTGCACTTTTTCCATCTGAACATAGAAAATCTGCAGATAATCTATAGGTGCAGGGGTGTGGAATTCCTATCGCCCGACGCCCGGGACAGGCAGTTTTGGGCGCCGGGCGAGTAGTTTTTTTTCTACATTTAGCCTGGCTGCGGGTAAGCAGCACAGCTAAATGTAGTGTGGGAGCCGTTTCGTACAAGTGATTTTGAACGGCTGTATAGCCGTCCAAAACCACTTGTAACTTGCCTGAATCTCACTCCCCTCCCTCGCTCCCCTTTCTCTCTCCCGGCGGCCAGCCGTGTACCTCTCGGCTGCCTCTCTCTCCGTGCTTCTTTTGCTGTGGTCTTCGGGGTCCCCCCCCCCCCTTGTGGGGGGATGCGTGCCTACGGGAAATAAGGTTAGAGAGCATGGAGCAGGGCAGAGAACGCTTCTCTACTCAGCTCAGTGTGAATAGTGACAGGGGAATGCAGCCTTCCTGTCACAGGAGAACCAGCACAGAACTGTGCTAGAACTCCTGTGTTGGAGGTGACAGGGTCAATAAAGAGAACCTGTCACCTCCAAATGCTATCACACAAGTGGCTTGTCACCCCTTGTGTGATAGCAATAAAGTCAAGTGAAAGAAAAAAAGTAAAAAATCAAATATATATATATTAACAATGGAAATACATAAAAATGTAAAAAAAAAAAAAATATTACAAAGCAAACAAAAATCTAAATTTAAAAGCAACCCCTATCATCTGCATGTGAATAAACGCATGCATGCGGTGTTGTGTGTGTGTGCGCAAAGTGGGCGATCTGTTACCGCACGGCAATCATGCACAAAACCACGTGGATGGCCAGGCGGTCACAGAAGTGCACCCCACCGCCGATCGCACTGGCAGTGCCATTATTGTCTAATGGCACCCCAGGCACATTGCCGCCGCAATAATGCCCGTGCAATCGTACATACTCGCGGTTGAAAACACAACGGGAAAAAAAAGGTACATGTACCTTTTTTCAGCGATTACCACGCGGATGTAACCTCTTTGAAATCAATGGGGCCGCGTGGCGAACGCACGCAGTCGCCCAAGTCTGCACCCGCCCCAAAGGGTAAATTCACTTTCCCAAGTAATTTGGGAAAATGGAATTACCTGCACAAATCTGGCCCCCTCCCGCTATACTTACCTTTCAGAGAACGGTCCTTCCCATCCACCAGTATGGGTGTACTATCTACCTGTGCCATGTATTCTGAATTTCGCTCGCAAAATGCAAGCACTCGTTGGTCAGCACAGTCACCTGACAGCACTGACCAATGCGAAGCTCTTCTTGGCATTGCTAAATACAGTTTTCTTCTTGGCATTGCTAAATACAGTTTTGGTTAATTTTTTTTTCTTTTTTTTGTATCGGGACAAGTAGATTTCCATGAGGGACAAGTAGATCGACCCCCCGCTTTAGCCCTTGGACAAGTAGGTTTTTTTTTAAATTTCCACACCCCTGAGGTGTATGGCCAGTTTTATCAACCAGCAGCCAAACATATCCAACAATAAAGTACCAGCACCTTCAAATGTTCCCATAATAGAATAACGGAAACACCATACATTACATATAACTACTTCTGATTAAATGTTATACATATTGGGGCCACAAAAATAGATCCACCATCAGTGCTCATCAATCTGATGAAAAAAAGATTTAATCTGGTTTGGCAGTGATAACATTGATAGTTAATACAATCAAGTTATTAAAGTATGAATGCAAGAGATATTCTTAAAGAGGAACTTCAACCACCAGCTCTTACTTTATGCTGTTCTTCATTCATATACTCACCTGCCCAGTGAACCGAGCGTTGTCCTGCTGTGATCATCATTCTGCTGCCCCCCACGCTGGGTCCCATGCAGCCATCTTCTTCCTGGATGTCATTGGGACCCAGCTCTGTTTTGGGTTAAGCCAGTCGTCCCCCGATGACACACTGACAGGCCTACCCTACTCCTCTGTTTGCTGTATGGCAGCTGATGCCTCAGGAGATATACTACATGCTTATTTCAGGAGGCACTAGGTACGGAGCACGTCATTATCATCTAAGTGAGAATGGAGGGCAGGGGGGCACACCAGATAATAAAGTGCATAATAAAAACCAAAGTAAAGAAACCAAAAAAAAGGGGGGGGGGGTCATATTGCAGACAGGGGATGACTGGTGGACAAAGTTATTTTTTCAGGGTGAAGATCCACTTTAAGGCCAATCATCTGATCGCCCAGTATGTATATCATCTAATATTAGCCCAGTATGTAGGTCCCCACCATGCACACGTGGATTCTATATACTCTACTGAATCAGGTTATATGTGTTCGTTCTCTCTCTCTCTACGGGTCGTAAATGGGATTCAGCATGCATCACATAGCTGCTGCACTAGAATCCATTATATAGCACGTGTGGCTGCAGACAGCTTGCAATCTATGGCAGCAACACTGCTTCTTAAGTTTTATAAGTCTGAAATCCATCGTACGAACACCCGTGTACCCGCACACACGAGCGGTAGGTGTATGTATTATATCTGCATAGCAGATCCCCTGTGAACGCACCGAAACCGTAAACAGATACTCCTCTGCAACCTGGTAATCCGCAGCACAATAGACACCGGGCCGGAAGCTCCACGCACTGCTCACCGGAAACACGTAGCAGGGGGCACAACACAGGCACGTGGAGGGATCGGCAAGCATATGAGTCACGTGACCTTCCTAAACAGCCGACAGGAAGGGGCGGTGCTGGAAAGTGAGCACCGTGGACACGAGGACTCCTCACCTGTGATGTGTCACTGCAGAGGAAATAGGAAGCTATAACGTACGTGTGGATGGAAGTGTCATGGGAGGGGGGGACACAGCTTTACCTCACATAATAAAGGCTATTATTTTTTTAATATACATGGAGCTGTTCAGGGTCTGGGGGTCTAGTCAGTTTTCAGGTTCTGACAGCTTGTTGTAATTGGGTTGCTGTAAGTCAGGTATTAGAGCAGCATATGATTGGTTGCGGATCCTTTGATTTAGGCTGACATGTAGAAGATGTCCAGTGGATGTCTGGAACCCTTTTTTCCTCTGTGTAGCCCTATACACCTGTATGTTATGTCTGACAGATTTGTACTGGGGCATAACACAGGCACCTGGAGGGATCTGGGAATTAGGGACAAGGCTCACTAAAGATTTTCTTAGTTACTTCTGTCCCCCAGGGGACAAAGCGCATATAGCACTTGATCCCGTCTTTTTAGGACAGGCGTCGGCAATTCATTTTCTCAAGGGGCCACATGAGAATTTGGGACTCTTGTGGAGGGGCGAAACATTATACTGAGCTTTATTCTACTCAATATTATGTTATTGCCTTTCTAAAAAGCAGTAAATTATATGGTTTTGATGTCCCCATTAGAGTGCCCCCTTATATTGTTCAGAAGATACGTTGCCCGCACACCATTCTGCTTCGGAAGATCCTCTTTATTCGTATTCCTTTAGCATGATATGTGAATGCAACGTTTCAACGTTTTGCCTGGCGAAAGGGTCCTGTGAGGCTCTGAAACGTTGCATTTACGTGTCATGCTAAATGAATACGAATAAAGAGGATCTTCCGAAGCAGAATGGTGCGCAGACAACATATCTTCTAGAATGTATACTGTGGTGCCATCCACAAGTCGCTCCAGCACCCGCTGGATTTGGGGGTGTAAGTGCTGTGACACAGTGCACGCGAAGCAGCGGCACCCTGCCTTCGCATAGCTGAGCATGCCGAGATGAAAAAGCGTATAAACCCGCGTGTCACGATGCGAACTCCATCCAGTTGTTACATGCGAGCCGATTGGCTGAAGATGCACTCATTCATCTGGCTGCACTCAACTCACACACTACATGCGGAGCTCTGTGCCTGACAGCTTGGCTTTGCATGCAGTGTGTCACAGGCTTAACAGTACGGTGTCCAAAGGGGATATTACAAAAATCTTACATTGTTTGTCCCCTTTTAGAGTTTATAATAGTGCCCCAACATACCTTAGTTTACTACTTTATTAGTAGGCTGAAGGCAGAGCAGCCTGCAGGAGAGGACAGAAGAAGATACTTTTCTGTCCTCCTGCAATGCTGGGGGTGGGGAACATATTTGGTGTCACTGATTGCTAGGACCGCCCGCCGTTCTAGCCACCAGTGACCTCAAAGGAGGTGGACAACTGACATAATTGGTTGCTAGGATGTCAGTGGTCCTAGCAACCAATGACTGAGGAGGAGGGGGGCCTGTGTCTGGTTGTGGATGCATCAGTCTCGGAAACCTGCGCATCCATTGTCCACCAGCCATACCCAAGTGCAGGTTGACGATTGTGATCTGGACTGAACCGCCACACTTTATTTAACTATGTGTAGCAGCACATTGCGATGCATTACGATGCAATGGAATGCATTGCACAAAAGTGCAACATGTTTTAGTTTTTTCAGCATACACCAAAGCAGCACCTTTGTGTAAACTGAAGCAATAGGAAATATGGCAAAGTGCCTTGCCTATGCATTGAGATTGTGTTGAGCAATGCTGCACAGTGCAAGCCATCAGGGCTGGTGTGAATGAGCCCAAACCTGTAGGTGGGTGTAATTTTTCATATGACAGGTGAACAGCAAACATACCTACCGGCAGTCAAATTAGGCCTTTTATTATTAATTTAATAAAGGATTTATATAGTGACACCAGGACAGGCCTTTGTCTCAAAATGTTAATGGACTGGATGTGGCATTGATACAGTGGCTTCAGTATTTTGAGTGACTGACCAGTAACACATATGCTGATCAGTGAAGTCAGTAACTTCTCTGCATTCTTGTTGCATGTGCGTTATTGATTGAAGCAAAACTCAGTACTCAGTACAGACAACTAGCATTTTTCTTTCTGTGTACTGAAAGAGAACAGTGGATGAAGGTATTTTTGTCCTCTGAATGGGACCATCGATGGATGGTGAACCCCACCCCAAAATTGTGATTAATGTCCATCTCCAGGGAGCAGAGGGGGAAACAGGCTTCAGTCACCGGTCTTGGAATCAGCGGGAGCGGGGATCAGGTAAGTAAAAGTGCTTTACACAGCTCCCCTAGATATGAACAAGCAGTTAACCCTTGCAGTGCATGGGGTAGCTTTTTTTGTCTTTTTTTTAACCTGGAGATTTAATAGAATTAACTAATATATTTTTACACTTTTGTTTACTTTTCCTTTCAGGGGTCACAATGACTATTGTAATTGGATTTGAAGGCAGTGCCAACAAAATTGGTGTTGGGATTATACAGGATGGAAAGGTTCTTAGCAACCCGAGAAGAACCTATATTACACCTCCAGGGCAAGGTAAGATTATAATGGTTTGCTTGCTTTAGATGAACAGTTACCATGATTAGTGAAGGGATAGCTGGTAGTCGTCACAGAAGCCTACAATTTGAATGCAGAACGTAGACTGCCATGATTGGCCTCCTGCAGGATATATGTATATACACTTCCAGCTGCATATTTCAGTGATGGAACTATTATGAATAAATTACCCAAAAAATACACTGCCTCTTCTGTTCTATTTTGATAAATAATTATAACATGGTTTTACACTTGTGTGTTGATCCCATGCTAAGGGGAGAAAAAATGTTTTGTAACACACAGGCACAGTGCAAAAAGCTTCAACAACTTAGTAACACAATAATGTCCAAGAACAAAAAAGACATCACATTGCACTCTATGAACTCTTTTATTGTCATAAAACATATCCAATTTCTGCACCATTACCAAAGAAAATATATACCAACACCATTACAACTGACATCTGTTATTAAAAACTAGCAACACCAGGGTATCCCCACATGCACCATAAACTTTCAATTCATGCTAAAAAATACATTGGGGGGAATTTATCAAAACTGGAGCAGACAGAGTCTGGAGCAGTTGTGCATGGCAACCAATCGACTTCCCTCTTTCATTTTCAAATCTTAACCGAGCAAACTAAAGAGAGAAGCTGATTGGTTGCCATGGGCAACTGTTCCATATTCTGTCTGCTCCACTTTTTATAAATCTCTCCCATTGTATTTCTCTAAGCATAAATGCTACAAAGCTTTAAGAGGGAGGATACCCTGGTGTTGCTGGTTTTTAATGACACATCTATCAGTTTCAGTGGTGTTGGTATATATTTGCTTTGGTAGTGGTGCACAAGTTGGCTATTTTCTTTCCTATGACAATTAAAGGGATCATAGAGTGCAGTGTGACTTCTTTCTTTTCTTGGATATTAGTGTGCTATTGTGACAAATAAAATAGAGGTAGTGACCGAATTGCTTTAGAAGCTTCATATTTCCAGCCAAGATATACAAATAGGGTCCTTACAGGCTGATGTGAGTATTTAAGAAAATATTTGTATACCTTCTTGTGATGTGTTTTCTCCAATCACCCAATCACTTTTTGGGTAGGGGATCAAAACCTCATTTAATTTGCCGTCTTGCTCTAAAATCTTGTGCTAGCCAGGGAAGATGTATGTTGTGTTTCAATGTATTAGTTCTAACTAGAGGGATGAAAATGAATACTAGATACTTCTACCACACTGCAGGTTTCCTTCCTAGTGACACTGCTCGCCATCACCGCTCCTGTATACTGGAAGTGCTGCATGAAGCTTTAGAGGAAGCAAAGATCCAACCAAAGGACATAGACTGTGTGGCATACACAAAAGGTAAGATCAGGTAGAAAAATAAGAGTGGGTTAATCCCAAAGAAAACCTTCAGTGCAGTACTTGTAATGGTAAAGATGGCCATGGATAAGATTTTGTGCTGATTCAAAGATCTGCGCCCCAACTGCACAAAAATATCCCCTATGAAACAAAACAAAGCAGAGGTGACTATAGATTACCCAGTGCTCCACTTTACTGCACCACAGGCAGAGTACAGATCATGGCCACCTTAAGCATAAATGCTACAAAGCTTAACCTCCCTGGTGGTATGATTTTTTCTTTTTTTCATTTCATTTTTCGGTCTATTTTTTTTTCCGTCTTTGTCGTTTTTTTCGTTATTCGGCTTATCTTAGTCTTAGCAGGGGTTCTGGCACATTAGGCAGGATTGTTCCATTTTAATAACTGATTTCTGATTAAATCACTGGAGCCATTTTTAAAAATGTATTTTATTGTTTATCCGATTAACCGATTAATCGAACTTAATAATCGGCTAACTAATCGATTTTGAAAATAATCGTTAGCTGCAGCTCTAGACAAAACAAAGCAGAGGTGACTATAGATTACCCAGTGCTCTACTTTACTGCACCACAGGCAGAGTACAGATCATGGCCACCATTTCATGACTGCTCAAGCTGGCTTGTTTTTCTCCATATTTATCTTTTTTATATGCTTAATAAATGGTCACTGCCTATGTAGAGGGTGCAGAAACACAAATCAGCAAACCAGTAGTCATCTTTATTTTTTTTCTGTCTGCTCTTGGCTATTAAAAGCAGAAATCTGATCTGTTACAAGCTCAGCAGCAGAACTATTGTAATGTGTAAATCTAGATGTATTCCAGAGGTACCAGAGAGGTATGCTCATCTAAGACCCATTTGAGATAAGAAGTACTTAATTGGAAGGTTTTAGGCTTTGGACTGCTATCCAAGTTTCAAGCTTGTTATACTGGATATTGTCTCAATGGAAATAAGAGATGGTAAAATTAGAGCATTTTTTTTTCCTTTTGTGTTTCTTTTGTAATGTTATCTGTGATTTTCTCTTTTTTTTAGGACCTGGAATGGGAGCACCTTTGCTTTCAGTAGCCATAGTGGCACGCACAGTAGCACAGCTCTGGAAGAAGCCCCTTTTAGGAGTAAATCATTGCATAGGCCATATTGAAATGGGGCGACTGATTACTAATGCTGAAAACCCTACTGTTTTGTATGTGAGTGGAGGCAACACACAGGTAGAGTATTACAAAAATGACCAGCACTTGAGTTGCATATACCATTGGTGGCAAAATTGGCCTTTTTTTAATTTAAATTTGTGTATTCACAAGTGATCAAAATGGGTAGATGATGGAGATGAGACCATGTGTATCCAAACTAATCATGTGTTAATGGGTATAAGTCATGCAGGGCAAAGCAACAGATTCACTATAATGCTGGCCAGGGGCGTAACTAGAAATCACAGGGCCCCATAGCAAATTTTTGTATGGGGCCCCGTGATTGCTAGTTATGCCACTTGCAGAGCCCCAGCGGAGAGTGACCCTGCAGAGCCCACCATAGACTCTCTATAGTGGGCTCTGCAGGGTCTGAGATCTCTTACCTGTCAGCGCCTCTGTGGTCGCCGGGCCCCGACTCCTGTTCCGTCCCCGGGCCCCGCCGCCTCTGCTATCGACGGGCCCCGCCTTCTCTTACATCACTGGCCCCACCTGCTCTTAGGTCGCTGGCCAGTGATGTAAGAGGAGGCGGTCCCCCCGCCTCCTCCATTCCGTACACCCACCTCATCTGCCGCAGCGGCTGGCTGTCACTGACACAGCTCCGCAGCGGCTATGAGGAGAAATGCGCCGTGGCCGCTGCTGAGCTGTGTCTGTGACAGCCAGCACCCCCACATGCCATAGCGACCCGGGCCCCATAGCGGCCGCCTGGGTCGCTATGGCGATTGTTACGCCACTGATGCTGGCTTTTACTTGCTTTACCTTCACTCCCTACCATTCTGTTCAGCTGTTGGGAACAAAGAGAGAGAAAGCCCTGTGTAAGTCAATACTTGGAGCTTATACAAGCTTTAGACTCTTACCCTGGTCCCATGTAATATTCCTGGGTGCCTGTGCGGCCAGTTATGAGGCACCAGCCCTATCACATTGGAAGACGTTACATGCACCCCATACCTGCAAGTACTGGGTAGGTCACTTTGGGGAGAAGTGAAGGCAAATTAAGTGCAAGCAGCAGGGGCCAACCTTAAAGTGAACCTGTTGCTTACCTTTCCATTGGCTCCACTTTTTCCTCCCTATCAACTGCATATGCCCCAACAAAGACCTTAGATTAGAATGGCCTATGCCAAGCAGCATGTCAGCCCATATATTTTAATGGGCTACCGCACGCGCAGCAAAGAAGCTTATGCAGCATTTTCAGCTGCAGACTTCCCGCAATTTTGGCCACCTGTTTGACGTGCAGGTAAAAACACGCGTTTTAACGTCTGTATTTGGGGTGCCATTAACAAGTAACGCCAATGCGCGCACATGACACAGTGCCAAAGTGTGAACAGGGACTAAGTGCTATGACTTGAGAGAGACAGGTGGCATACATCTTTTCCCCTCACTATGGAAATTAGCCGTGTCACTAAAAAGTCAGTCACTGAATGAAAATGCTTTTACACACAGTCCTGGAAGAGAGAACCGTTTAATACCTTTAGAGGAAATGTTTTCTGAAAAGGCAAACTTGTATTCTTATAGTAAATTGATCACTTTAATACAGAATTACAGCCAGAACTATTTTTCTTTCAATTCAGGATATAGCAGGGAAGGGGTACAACCTGTAACAGGTAGTTATTGGTGTCTGTGTCCGAGTTTGGGAAGATTCCCCCTTGCTGTGCCAGAATTATTCAGCTAAAGTGAAAGGTGTCTTCCCAGTAGTAAACCTAACATGACAACATAGATTAAAACATTAGGCAAAACTTTAACATTTTGTGACCTCTGGAGCCTTGAGGTTTCAAAAAACTGCCTATTTGACCTACGTGACACTGTATCAATAAGCAGGAGTACTATTTTTTTTGTCGATTAACATGGCGCCATTCTTGATTTTCACTGCAAGCACCACCATATGCATTTTATTAGCTACCACTGTTGTATGGTGAGCATTATCTTTCTATGGAATTCATACAAGTCTTAGCCTGAAAAAGGAAAACAAAGACAGCCACCACATCTAAGGACTAGTAAGCTGCAATACATTACATTTGTGTTTTGGGGGTTTAGATGCATTTTCTCGGCACCAATCTCCACATTTCTTAGGTGATACACAGCTTGATCAAAGCAAGCAATGTAAAATGACCAGCAAGCAAATGTGACATATTCTGTGATTCCTTCCAATACAGGTCATTGCATACTCTGAACGCCGGTATCGGATATTTGGTGAGACAATAGATATAGCTGTAGGAAACTGTTTGGACCGTTTTGCTAGGGTCCTAAAGGTAAGACATTTATTGATCTATCAGCACATAGGATGCTGTTTGTGCAGCTAATCCTTGACATTTGTGAGAACTATAGCAAATTGTAAGATTGCTTTTCAGCAAGTCAGTGACAGGTTAACTGTGTGTTTCTTCAGTTGGTCCAAGCAGTAGTTATGCTCAGTTGGTACAGGTGCAGTGATCCTTGAACAGTGCTATCTGTTTTTGTCTGGCTATGCCTGTGCACCATTTTATTGATTTAATGATATACTGTAACTGAAAAAGCAGAGACCAATAGAAGAAGAGGCAAGATGGGGAAGCACTAAGTATTCCATGCTGCGTAAAGATTGGAGTGCAAAGCCGTCAAAACCATCACTGATGTACTGTTCTCTGTTATAATATAAATAAAGCCACAGTAAAGTATTAGGTGCGGGAGACTTGCTTTCCTTGGATTTGTATAGGTGGACAGCACTGCAGGATTGTCTTCAAAGGTTGTTTTTTTTCTCCAAGTATATAACACAATGAAGCTGACTGTAAATGATTGTGCATACCAATTAGCTGAATTGCTCCTTTTGAGGTTTCTGACAAATATCGAATTTTGCTGGAAAAAAATAAATTGTTTATGCACACATTTTGCTTTTGAGTCTTTTACATTATACGATACTCACAGTTTACTCTTCAATGTATTATATTATGTATGACACAGTATTTAAAGGAAACTTGCACTGGGGAAATGGGGAGGCAGTCATTATTGACATATCCTTTTAAAATGCAAGCTGTATGGCTTTCAAGTGGCTCTAGTTGCTTCCTGGGGCACTGACCTGAAACAAGTATGCCAATGAGGAGTTCTGACCTTGCTCTGACTTTCTAATCTAGTATTATAAAGTATTTTTAGTAGGGGCAGGTCTTGTATTAATGGTACAGGTTTTTGACAGATGACATGTGCATATTTGGAGTCATCTTTTTCTTATTTTTTCCCACAAGATTCCAAATGATCCCAGTCCTGGTTATAATATTGAGCAGATGGCCAAGAAGTAAGTACCTCCTCTAAATGTATTTCAGCTACATTTCCAAAGCATTGTGTTCTACCTTCCCTATTTAGTTGTCACTGTATTTTACCACCTGAAATTATGTCTGTCCTCAACATCAAATCAGTAGACTGTTTTCCATAATTGCTCTCAGATTTTCTAGACTAATGAAACATTTCTAGGCATCTGGTCATGTTTTAATCCTAATTTAAATGCAGTGCTTCTAATATGCCACAGTTTAAAAGTAGGTTTGTAGAAACCTAGTGCCGACAGCAATTACATTGATGCAAAAATGAGCAATAGCTCACTAGCAAGTGCCTTTCGACTTTGCATTTAGCATAATAATCATACTGGCTGCAATGGACAAACTGACTGGAACAATATAACCGAACCATGTAATCACTGCTAGCTTTTTCTGTTATTGGTGCTCTGACTCTGACAAGCAGATCTGCTGGCCCTCCTTCTGAATCAGTAATGATGCCAGGCTCATCTAGGGTCATCAATTATGAAGATTCTCTTTTAATAAATGCAGTAACTATAAAAATCACATTATTCTAGTAATTTGAGTACTGCAGCATCCAGTCCTGCCTTTGTATTGCTAGAAAGTGCAGATTAAAAAAAAGGCTTTACAGACAAGGGTTTTTTTTTTGCTTATACCTTGGATGTGATGTGTAGCCTGAAATGATATGTTTTCTTTTTAGCTATAGCACTTTATCAGTTATTGTGAAATTGGATATTCAGAAGCAGACTGGTAGCTAGCTCCAATCAATTCCCAGCATCATGAGCAGCTGGATAAATAAGCTGATTGACATTATGGTGATACATTTCTTAAACGGTATATACTTTAGTTGAAATGTTTACCGGTTTTGACTTTTAGGGGCAAACAATTTGTGGAGCTGCCATATACTGTCAAAGGAATGGATGTGTCCTTCTCTGGCATTCTATCTTACATTGAGGTGAGGACAAAAAATGTCATAAATAGGACAGAATTCCATAACATTTCTAGATTTATTGTAGTCTTTATAATCCTCCTATCAGTGAAAGATTTATTCATAGAATAAAAATAGTATCTTTTTAATTTCAAATAGTGTGATTTGGTCATATTAAAATGTGTCCTACACATTTACAGTACTTGAAGAGTAAGGCCTCATTCACACACAACGCAAGCAAAATTGTATATTGCGTATATACGCGCCTATAGGCAATCCCAGAATGCATCACTCGTAATGGAATTTTTTATGTTCTATACGCATGTATGCGCGTAAATACGCAGAAATACGCTGCCCGGACGCATCTCTGTTCCATTCTGTTTTTGCGCATATATACGCTACGCAAATATACGGTTCTATACGCGGCTATGTGTATGGAGCCATTTATTTGCATAGGTTGCATATGGTACAATACGCGTATACGCGTGCATACGTACGGCAGTGTGAATGAGGCCTAAAGGGTTAATAAACATGCAGTTTTCTTGGTCAGATATATGGTATATATGTTTGTGTGTTTTAATAGGATTAACATGATAACGTGTTTACAATTGAGTAGCCTATCAGAAATGCTAATATCTGATAATTGGGTGGTATAGATGTGGCCAATATTTTGCAAACTATAATGAAAGCATAGATCAACACCGAGTTGGATATCTGTGTACAGGTATAGGGGCTTTCATGTACTGTACATGTTTATGAATATGAGAAGATGCTTTTCCTAGAGAAACTCACTTCTGTCCTTCTTAACAGACTGAGCAAAAATTAGCTGATGCCATATCTGTGCTATCAAGTGACTTGAGATGTCCCTTTTACTGGTTGTTTTTTTGTCATTGCTAACCCCATGTTGGTTCCTCGGGCACTCACATCAGCTGAAGTAGTAATCAATAGCTTGTGCATTTGGTTCAAGGGGCTCACCAGAACCCATAGGAACGAGTTCTTCATTTTCCAATGTATGAGTACCTTACCTAACTTTTATTTGACATGTTAAAACTAATAGACCAGATCTGCTGACGGGTTCAATCAGAAAGTGTTGGCTTTAGAGCTAGGAATCCCTGTAATGATTTTACTAGACACCTATCATATAATACTCCTGGCTATATTTATACTTACTACCATTATGTGAGCTTGTTTTCCCATTGCCTTTATAGGACATGGCTCACAAAATGTTGTCTCCAGGAGAATGTAGACCAGAGGATCTCTGTTTCTCTTTACAGGTAAGTAAGAGAGGCATGAAAATATTAGCAGTTACTTCATTACATGTAAAAAATGAAAATGTGTCTCCAAAGCAGTATTTCCCAACATCATATAGGGACCTTTCGCTGTCTCTTCCACCGTGCTTTCCATTTATAAGAACCTTTGATAGCTAACAGTATTTTTGCATGCACTGCTATAAGAAAATTGGTCCAAGTGATTTTTTTTTAAATTGGAAAATATTCGTAATGCATTGACTGTATGGTTGCCATGTGGTGACTGTGCTGTGAGTGCAACGTGTTAAGCTGGCCATACACCTTACAATTATCTGCAGATTTTCTGTGGTCAGATGGAAAAGGTGCAACAGATTCCTCCATCTACACTTAACTGTGTGGATGGAGTAATCTCCACCTGGGCCAATCTGTTGCACTTTTTCCATCTGACCACAGAAAATCTGCAGATAATTGTAAGGTGTATGGGCACCTTTTAGAGTGTCCTGTTAGCTTCAATGGAAACCTATTGATGCACAAACCTTATTGTGGAAACAATTGGTCTAGAATCATCCATGCTGTGGGTGGCTTCAGAAATATAATGTGTATGTATACGTAAGAGGCTAGGGAACATGTGCCTCAATTGGCACTTATTGGCTGTGTTTTTGTTTTCCCAAGGTTTGGTAACTGTGGTTTCAGCAAACAAAACTGCCGAGATGTACAGTAGAAGATTTTTACAGTGCTGTATATTGTACCTTGAATGCATGGAAATCACACACATGTGATTTTGCATATGTTAACAAAGCAATCAAGATAAAAGTACACACACACCTAAAATATGTAATTGAGTAGGACATCTCTAAAATGTTTTAGTAACAGATCCATCATATTTCTATCATGTGTTGTGAAGCTTTTAATTACTAAGCTTTTCTGTTCTGACAGGAGACTTTGTTTGCAATGCTTGTGGAGATCACAGAACGGGCTATGGCCCATTGCGGTTCACAGGAAGTCTTAATAGTTGGTGGAGTCGGATGTAAGTTGCATGATGACTTATGAACATTTAAGATCTATTTAAATTGTTCTGTACATTCCAGGTGTTGAGCAACCTATTCAGAGATAGTGGTGTAAAGATGTTAGCTGTTTTTTTCTTGACATAGAGGAAAATAAGTTTATACACCAAGAAAGTATGTTTTTTTTCCATGTAAGTTATTCCATGTATGTTCTCTTTGTGCTTGTGTGAATTCACTCCAGGCACTGGTTTCCTCCTACGTTTTAAAGATCTGCTGGTAGGTAGATTGGCTCCTGCCTAAATTGTCCCTAGTATGTGGGTACAAATTGGCTATTTACATGTGTTACCACATTCATAGGTAGGGTTAAGGAAACACCTGACAAGCCTTGTATGTGAAAAAAAAATTGATCTAGAAAATTCTATGGGAAAAGCTTTCAACAGTATCGCATAACTGGTCCATAAAATCGGCGAGAGTTGGCTACGACTAAATGGGTATAACACACATATAGATAGACATAGAAATACTCATATATTTTTTTTAACTTTAAACATAGAAAGTGGCAAATAGCACAATACCACGACTAGAAATGTTTAATAAAAGTTTCAATGAAGTTGAAATCAGAAGCCTATAGTGTCTATGATTAACAAAGTCCTGCACTGAGCCTTGCTGCTGGTGAATCAATTGAAAATGTTCAGATCCTACAAAGAAAACACTGTGCATCAGCTTAGTCTAGTTAGACCAGAATAAACCTCACAATGACAGTGATTTTACATGCTTACCTGACTACTGTAGTGTGTGGAGAGCTCCCTACACCACAACCACTACTACAAGCTCAGACCTCTGCTTGTCGTAATGACTAGGAGACCCTGTGAGACTCTAGTTCTCTTAGCAGACGCCACACACAGCCTCTTCCGTATCTCCTGCTCATTTGGACACTCTTTCCTCCACAGAGGCTTATAAAGTGGTACAACCCTGAAACATGTCCCGTACAAGTGTGTATTCTGCTGACGTAAGCAGAGAAAGGAGGCTGCGAGTGGCATCCCCAGAAATATCACTTGAGTATCAGTGTCTCCAGCTTGTATAATGGGCCAGAGGACTGGGCTTGTAGCGTTGGCAATGCTAAAATAAGCTGTGTGCTACAGGCTCCAGCAGTCAGATGAGCATTTACAATCACTAATCTATTAGGTTTTACTACACTATGCCAGTGCTAGCTGTTTTCTTATCAGCGTTAACCCAGTCTCTCATATAAATATTTTTTTTCCACAATAAATTTTTTTATTAGGTTTTAACATAGTACACAATACATCAAATATAAGACCCAAAGCAAGACATCAAGGGAGGAGGCAGGATCCAACACCCAAAAGAGTTATGTCTGGCTTGTCAGTCCCATCAGGAGCCAGAAAGGTTTTGATGCCAAAATAGTGCAGACAGGTCTTAGCGCCTCTGACGAGTTGAAAAGTAAATCCACATACTCCACGTAGTAACAAAGTTCTGGTAATGGTCATGTGGGAGGGTATGATGACCTTTGACTACCCACTCCTGAATGCTTGTGCAAGTGGTTGTCCTCCAATGATTGGAAATTCAAGCTCTGCCTGCTGAGAGGGGAAAGCGATAAAGACCCTTCTTCACAGCAACAGGAAAGCCTGATAAAATGGATAAAAGGGCTATTTTAGGTGTTTAAGGCCTGTAATTCTATTGGCCATTGTGAAAATGTGTGCCAAAACGGATGCATACATAGGCAGGGCCACCAGGTGTGAAGCATTTAAAGTACTTTTTTAAAATATCTTTCAATCTTCAGCTTTCATTAAATACTTGTAGATCCTGTAGTGAAGAAGGTCCTTGTTCAGACATTTCCTGTTTCTTGACAACTATCTGTCCCGGTCTCCCAGTTATGCTTCTGCATTGTCACCCTGTCACACAGGTTTTATGATGTATACTACAAGTGGCCAGCACAGATTACTCAGACATGGCCCACTGTTCTTACTGCCAGAAAATCTACCCTGAGAAATGCCATGCAGCCATCTACTGTGAGGAGGCAATGGACATTCAAAGATTCACAAATTCTTCACAAATCGTAAATGAGTTTTTTTAAATCAGATAGTTTTTATTGATTTTCAAAAAACAGACAAAAACATAACAAACTTACGGGAAAGAGGGAAAGAGAAAAAAAAAAAAACGGCCAACGGCCCAAACATCTTGTACACTCAACATCCCTCACTCCTCACACCTACTAGTACAATATTAGTGTGACAGGCATACCGAGTACCGCCCTGAGGGTAGTACACAAATAGGGCGCTTACTCAGGCGCCTCCCTTCCTCGATAGGACAGCCAGTTGGACCACATAGACTCAAATTTTTTCATATTACCTCTCTGCTGCAAAGTGACACGTTCATAGCCCACCATCTTATCCATTTCTCTAAACCATAGCTCCAGCGTAGGGGGAGAAGTGGAGATCCACCTATGCACCACCAACCTGGATGCAGTGAATAGTGCTCGTTTAATGGCCACAATCGTATGCGAGTTTGCCTCCGGTGCATCTATGATGCCCAGGATGCAAACAAGTGGGGAGTTAGTAAGTGAGGATTCAAAAACAGAGTTAATTACTTCCAAAACCGCGCCCCAATATCTTACTAGCTTAGGGCATCTCCACAGTAGATGAATCAAGGAACCCCGATGGATATTACATTTAGAGCAATTAGGGTCAGCCCTGTACCCTATACGGAACAGAAATTCAGGTGTGCGATATATTCTGTGAATAATAAACAGTTGCGTCAACCTGTGAGTGGGCGAGAGCGAGACCTGTGTAACCCGTTGGAGTGCATCTTCCCAATCGTCGTCCGATAAAGGGCCTAGATCCATATGTGGGTAAAGGCGCCCACCCTCGACCAGCAAATGTGACCCCGAGAGACAGGAGTACTAGTCCCACAAGCCGACGAGGAGCAGGATATCGGCAAGGTAAGCCAGAGGATGAAAATCAGGAGAATGAAGGAGAGCTCTTCCCGGTCACGTCCGTCTACATGCGGCTGCTGGCCACGCCCCCCGTAAATGAGTTTTTAAACAAGCCCCCACCGATGTCTGCAGGCTGTGGAGCAATTCTTACTCAACATTCATAAGAGATGTAGTTAAGTCCTATATGTCTGTTCATAGTATTTCTACCTCCCTTCTTCCTGTACACTTGTGTTTACATTAGAGATTAGGAGACTCACAGGCTGCCAAATCACTGCTTGGAGGGGTAGCAGAAAGAACTCTGGTGTTGAAAGGGAAAGTTAATGTTTCTTCTGTAAAGTTGAAGATGAATTCCTCCACTGTTGCTGCAGCTAGAGGTCATTTTAAAGCTCATTGACTGCGTGTTAAAGGAGAACTATGGGGTCAGGGTTTTCCCCATAGTTCTCCTAAGGGTAACGGGAGGACACAAACTAGCATCCTCCCGTCACCCAAAGCTCAGTATACCGCGATCCACAGCTCGCGGTATACTGAGCCACCACAGCCGGGACGGATCCCGACATTACTGTCTGGATCCACCCAGCTGCGTGAGTGACAGCTGGCTCTGCCTATCTAGAGGCGGAGCTAGCTGTACCCGCACCCTCCCCCATCCGTTCCGCCAGTCAGCGCTGGAGGATCGGATAGGGGGGGGATTCCCTGCAGGGAGCCTCGAGTGACAGTCACAGCTCTCTGCAGGGAGATGATCGAGAAGTGAGCGAGCGACGGTATGTGTTTGCTCAAGGTATTTTCCGCATTTACTAAAAAGTCCTAAAACTTGTGTGTGCTTTTCAGTTGTTTTGCCCTTGTAGACTAATGGCTTTCTCCTCATCAGGAGAAGACCAAGAAGGGCCAAGTGGTTGAACTAGCCATATAAATCTGTTTCTTCACTCAGGTAACATTCGCTTACAGGAGATGATGGCGGTTATGTGCAAGGAAAGAGGCGCCAAACTTTTTGCTACAGATGAGAGGTAATTATTGGCCACTCACTTGGTTTATTAGAATTTACATTCAGAATCTTCAGTATTATTGTTTCTTATTTTCTTCTCCAGTCATGCATTTGACTGTAAGACAGTTTGATGGTTCTTCAGCATCTATCTCTGTACTTTTAAGTTTCTGCATAGATAACGGTGCTATGATTGCCCAAGCTGGATGGGAAATGTTTCGATCTGGTCACATCACCCCACTGCAAGACTCCTGGATAACTCAGAGGTCAGCTTCTGCTTTCAGTATTGTGTGATCATGAAATCATTTTAAATGTGTCACCACCTAGAATGTAAGAGAGGTGATTTAATTGTTTTTCTATTTGCTGTTCTCTCCACAGGTACAGGACAGACGAGGTGGAGGTTACATGGAGAGACTGAAACCTTGATGAATTCTAAAAAGAGATTTAAATAGTGCATTTATATTGTCTTGTTCCGAAAATCATGTTTTATTGACCTGCAAGACCTGAAGAGTATCACAAAGGGCAGATCAGTGGATCAGGCAGTGGTGTGCAAAATACATTCAAATTTGTTTATGTGATCTGCAGCCTTAAAGTGCATGTTTCAGAATACCTCTGGATGCTGTGTCTTCTGCCTTATACTATGTGTCAGGTCTGTAGAGACATCTTGGGAAATCACAGGTGGACGTGCCCAGAATTTCAATTTTAGTTTGAAGGATTATGGCACATAGAAAATTGCAATTAGAAGAAACTTGCTGGCAACCATAGCTGACCTTCTGCAAATGCTGGATGCCTTGTTGCCATGTTGACAGACTGATTTCAATACTTTGAATCACCAACCTAGACCAAGAATGCAGATCAAGACCTCACTCAAATACTCCTTTATTACAAGTTAGTGACCGAAGATAGCAAAGTGAGAGGATCAACATGACGCACCACTCATGATGACCGTTTGATTTCTCTTGAATGTTTTACTTATGTTGCAAGTAATAGTGATATGTGACGTGGTGGAGCTCTTAGAGACCAGTCAGAAATAACATTAACTGATCTTGGTTTAGATGCTCTGTTACTACATGTTGGACTCTGTTGCTCTTGTTCTCCCATATTGCAGAAGCCTACATGTGCATCGTTCTGTTACTGTCTTCAAAGAAGAATCATGTTTTGGTAAACAAGTCATTTAATATTCTATCTAATGTTAAAAATAGCTCCTCTTCAATATATAGCCAGCCATAGTTTTCTGTGAGAAATATATATATTTTTTGTAAACACAGCAACAGTATTTAGGGATGGATGGAGGTCCAGTTTCAAGCACCCTGAGGAGCATCCCCATCAACACCCTTAGGCTCGTATCATACTGGTGGCAACTTGCTAAGAAAACAAAAATTGTCTAGCTATCTTCTGCAGTGTTTTGGCATAGAGGAAACAACATCTTATCAAATTATACTCTCCGGAGTCTCCTCACCCAGGTGCCTCGCTGTGTGTTTCTTGCCCAGCCTGGTGATCAGTGGTGAGGTGGGGGGAGGGATTGGAGGGTTTTTATTTTATCCTGGGCTTTAATCAAACTTGTTGCTGCTAGAGAAAAGGATCACCAGCGTGACACGGGCCTTAGGTTTGCTGTTGATCTTTCTTTACAAGCTTGTATGTTTGTGTTTCATATCACAACCTTGGGAATGGTATTCTGGTAATAGTGAAGGTATCAGGTTTAACCAAGTCCACTGGAACTAGCCTTACAGTATGTACAGAAAAAATGCAGGCAGGCACCTATAATACAATTTGGTATTGCACTGGCAAATTTTGACTTGCAGATGGGATTTGTTTTTTTTTTTTACCTATATTGAATTGGAAGCTTCTTTTAACAAAAATGTATTTGGTAGCATCAGGCCACAGCTTATAGACTCAGACAGCTGTAAATATAAGTAAACCTATACTGTAAATAAAGAAACCTGATTGATTGAATGAAGTTTACTAAATCCCGCAATCGTACAGTATATGGAAGGCGTGCGACCGTTTCTACTGTACGGTCGCACGTCTTCCATCGAACAAGCAGGCTGGAAAACCCGCCGGGAATCGTACGATTCTCGGCGAATTGGTAGCCTGCTTGTACATTGCCCGTTTGCCGTCCTTGCAAGCCCGCCCCCTCATTGCATTCATCGCAAGCCCGCCCCTCAAGGGGGCGGGCTTGCGATGATCGCACGTACGATCTGCCTGTCCAAGATGGGCAGATCGTACGTTTTTTTAAGTACTTTACAACCCTCGCAAGACCAAAGTCTTGCGAGGGTTGTAAAGTGTATGGGCACCTTTACCTTCACATTTTCATTTTCCAGTAATACATATTAGCAGTGTATGCCTATTTATCACCCTGATAATATACATACAGTATATTATATTTGCAAATATGGATATTGTTTACACTCTTTTGGAGGGAAAATGGAGTCAGGGCACTGGGAGGTTCTCTTTCCTATTGGTGCATAATTTCCTTGCATTGTGTGCTTTTTCACATGCCTAAAGAAGGGTCTCTGTGCTACCCTGAAACATTGCTTTTCTATGTGATCATTCAAGAATAAACAGCTTTTTTATATACAAGCTTGTTGGTGTGCTGGCACCATATCGTATCAGTTACAGTATGGCATCTAAGAGGAATATGCGCCACATTCAAAAGAGGAGCTACTGTTCTGGGCCTGGAGAGAGGCTGTAGTGTACTACGTCAGTACTAAGCAGTATCCAGTTAAGAAAGGTCTTGTATCAAAATGTGTTAACCATAACAGACATGTGTGAATATTCTGGTTTTAGAAATTGGAAAACACAGGACTCACTGTCATACCTTTGGGTATTTAAAGTCTTTGCCATGAACATATGCAGTACAGGTAATGGGAGACACCATGGCAGAACAGAATGCCACTGGGAGCCATATTACATTTGTGACCAGACCTGTGACCCCCCTGAAGATGTCATTTGTGACGAAACGCGTCGGGGCTGGCCTATTCCATGTGATACCACGCTCAACCAGGAAGTACAGGCGATCCGTACGCTGTATCTGACAGGCCGGTCTTTACTATTTTAAACTGTAAGTTCTCTATGTTTTCTTTAAATAAACATTTATACCTACTACACGATGAGGAGTTTCTCTTTTGTGATTTTATAAACCCTCGACTGACGGGACATTGCCGGGAGAGATACCAGGGATGTGGACCCACTGATCAATTTGCACTGCTTAACTACCATAGCAGTGGGGTGAGTGCGCATTCGTGGACACTTACACAGTGGTGTGGGAAGAGTGTTTTTTCAAACATTCATTTGGATTTTCTTCATCAAATTCACTTTTGACTATATTCACTAATATTGCACTTGGATTTATGTTAGATGGATCACCATCTGGGACTGGTTTAAATTTGATTGTGTTACTATTCTAGCTAGCAAGCAGCTATATAAGGTTACCACATATTATTTATGCACCTTTGAAATTGTTACTATTAACCATTTCCCTGCCAAGCCCTCCGGAACATTTTTCAATTCAGCTGGCCAAGCCATTTTCACAATTTTTCCCATTGATTTGATTTTCTATTGCTGCGTTGCTAGTGTTTGTAAAAGACCCCCCGAACCATATATTTTCTGAAAGCGCAGGCCCGGTAGAATAAAAAGATGGTGATACTAAATTTGTAGGCCCTGATATAATTGCGCAAATGTTTCTCAAATTAATATTAAACCGATAAAAATACACAATTCAATTGATAAAACACACTAAAATCAGTATCCGTGCACAAAATTGCAACACAAGGTATCACAACGCACGGCAATGCGTCACAAAGCTTTGCCATGCGCTGCCACAGTTAATTTAATGGGGTTTTTTAAAGAAAAAAAAATCATGCACTTTTACAGTTTTAATTTATTTCTTAATTATTAATGTTTCTGTTGGGGGGGGGGCTGCAGTGAAATGACATTTCCCTTTTGAAATAGAAATTGAGAACACAGAGTCCTCAATTTATTTTTCTGCAGCCCCAGCACTCAATGAATGGGAAGCACTCAGTACACAGGCTTCCCATTCATTCAGAAACTGATCGTAAAATATTTTTACTATCACTACTTTATGAATGGGGAGGAGCCTCTATAGTGAGTGCTACTCCCCATTCATAAATCCTTGAATGAACAGGAAGTGATGTAAATCACAGCCTGTTCATTCATAACTGGGGACACATAGTACTAACACCGGAGTGATTAGACGATCACTCCGGTGTTTGCTCTGCACTGAGGGATCGTTAAATATCAATATTTAACGATCCCCCGCTCGGCCACGCTACAGAGCCGCTGTCATCCAAAAACTGACAGGATGACAGCGGCTCTAATCACTATGCCGCTTGGCCATCCTGAATTGCGGCCAGCTGCCGCTCGCTCCCCCGACCCCCCCAGCCGGTGATTTTACTTTGGATCCCCGCTGCCACAGACCCTACAAGCGGGGGACAGCAGCGTGGATCCATGTAGTCTCTCATCCCTGCTTGGAGCGGCTCTAGGCAGGGATGAGAGACTCGTGATGCAGGCAGCCGGCCACAGGGGGGGGCCGCCCGATATTTTGGCTTGTGAGCCGCTGATGACAGCTATTAATTTGAAGGGGACAGTGAGCTTATAGCAGAACTGTAAATGCCACCGGCGTAAGGCATAGTGAGCTGGCCAGCCGGGAACACTTGTGTGGAGAATGCAGCGAAAGGGTTAAGGTTGACAAAGGAGTAATTCACTTGGTGACACTGAGGTCACACAAAGCTTGCTGCATACTGTTTTGTATACAGTTTTTTTTGCTTATTTGATCATCTCACTGTAATACTTTTAAATATCCTTGAGATATTGATTACACTTGAATTTAAATAATTTCTTTTCACTTAATATCACCCTTTAGCGCTGCACATTTAGCACCTCACTAGTTTGACCCTAGGGTCCATAGCGCAGCAGCTTCTAAACTGTATCTACCCACAAGCGCAGATTTTACATTCTCCATATTAAATTTGTATCTGACCATACAATTCATTAACAAAGATTTTGCTCCGCCCTTATCTTTATTACACTATTGCTTCCCTAAATCCATCCAACTGTAATGATGGATTCCTATAGTAAACCTGCTGCAAGTTCAATTTTTTGTTACAGTGCAACTTCAAATATTTAATTTCTACAACTTTGGTTTGTAATTTAAGAGGAGACTGGTTGCTAGGGAGAAGAATTGTTTCCTCTAGCACATGTTTCATACATACAGTCCTAGAAGAGGTGCACTACATGTGTGAAATGAGACAAAGAGTTAGTGTTGCTCATAATCTGACTCCTTTATGCACTTTCCACAAATGTGAGTGTATTGTTATCTTTCTAGTAACTTGGCATTGCATAGTCGTAAAGCATAGAATCTGTTTGCACAAGTAGTTCTTGAACATTTTTGGTTTGCCATGCCTTGGACATGTTTTTGTTTTATGCCGTTTTCAATGTGTATCATTGAACTTTTATATGTCTTATTTATTTATTTTTTGTGGGATATTTCTATTTTCTTCTTAACCCTATTTAATGGCCAGTTTATTACCGTTACCAAATAAGGCTAGGATTGGCTCCTGTTGGTAGGCATAATCGACTGGGAGTACCACGCAGGCTTAGCCTTTTGGTCATTATCTCACTACATGTGTGAACCCATAAGAAAAAATAATCTTACCATCTCATGGAAATGGTACAATGAAAAGGATATTGTAAATTAAAGTAAACCTTTGAAAACAGGTTAATTAAGGCAGCCACTGCTGACCTCTCTCTGAAAATGCTGTTACCTTGTATTATTATAACCTACAGGCTAAAATATTATTTGAATCACTAACCTAGGACAAGTCTGCAGATTAGTAAGGTGAGAAAGTCTTCTCCTGCATTCCTATTTATAGTCAAAGTAGTAAAGGCAGTGGGTAAGCATGACAGCCAGCATTTTCACAAGGTGAGCAGTTGCAGCCTTCATGCTTTTCTCATGACAGGTTCCCTTTAAAGGGTATTTAAGCCCAGAACAAAAATGTCCAATTGCACCTTACTAATCCTTAGATGGAGCGGCTGCATTTTTCTTTTTGTCTGGCTTGTTTCCCCCTTTATACCCACTTGGTAAGCCTGAGACTAACACACTCCCTGTCCTTGGATGGATACGAGTCTATGGAAGGAGCCATGGTTCTCTCCCAAACATGTCTGCCTTTGTTAATCTCCTCCCTTCCCCAGCGATTTTTTTATTTTCTGTATACAGTGTATGGCACATGCATCATGCAGTGTACACACTCAATCCATTCATAGCATCTCTAAGATAATGTGAATGGGCCAGGTGCAAGGGGAGTATGTAACTCCTGTGCAGGAGTTAAATCACCAGTGGCCACCAAATGGCTGAAGAGGACTTCCAAGAACCTGGAAGTGTCTGTGGCAGAGATAGTGGGTGACAGAGCTGGGGACCGAAGATTGATTCAATAACACTGGAGAAGGGCACACTTGTAAGGCAAGTGTGCCCTAATGTGTAGGTATGCTGTGCATACTTACACATTAGAACAAAAACCCACCATTTACACATTACTGGAAACCTGACATGCAGTCCCAGGTGAACGGTAGATTTCTTTGCACTGGACCCATGAAGAACATGGACATATCAGAAATCTATTTCTGTAAATACAGGATTAAAAATGAAAGTGGCATTTCCTCTTTAATGTTTTGTCCGCAAAGGCCAAGGAACAATGCTTCACAGAGTCAAAAATAAGAAGGAAAACAATAACATTTATATTTTTCAAGTGAAATAAAATTTGCAGGAAGCACAGCAGCAACAGAAAGAGAAAATTACAATTATTTACAACTCAGCTGCACAGATAAAAGAACAGATTGGACCCCATAGAAGTCGCAATGGATTTCATCCTCTTCATGGTTACACCAACATTACCTCCCCACCCTAAAGTCATACATTTATGATCAAAAGTATTCCTCCCTATAAAATCAGGATAATGCCCTCTTTGCAGAACATCTGAATAAAAACATGAAAAGAGGCTTCTAAAGCACCAAAAGAGAGATTACATGTGGCTCTATGTAGTGTCCTAGAGGTAGCAACATAAAACATTTAGGTTTTCCAGGATTGGTAAATGAGAGGGCTACAACACATACAATTCCAGTGTTCTAAAATATTGGCATTATATATAACCAATAGACATGATTGTAGTCGTCTGAGTTCCACCATTACAACACACTGCAGTGCATTTGCGTTCCATGTGTAACCTACAATGGCAATTTTTTTTTGATTCACTTGTACCGACTGCTGCTTTAGGCCACACAGTCATGTGAATGAATGAACCGGTAGAGAAAAGGACAGAGGGTAAATGTATTCTGTCTATACTTATACCTAACATAACATGACAGGAAGAGGACTGTTCAGTTCATGCAGCTATTTTGTAATAGGTTTTGTAAAGAGAGAGCAACATTCTACCTTAACACTGCCAGAACGATTAACAATGGGTCCTTGTCCTAATCAAAGATATAGTGTTCTGAAGGCCTCTCTGGAAAGACTGAGAGGGAACTATTCTCTTTCAGGTATTGGGTTAAAAAAAACACTATCTCCAGATAAAAATGGTTTAAGGTGCAACAAATAGGAGGATATGACACGATGAGGAAAAACATCCTCCCAAGGCTGGCTCTCCATCCTGGCTTCCACTGCCTTACCCTTGTATGCCATGACTGTTTTGTACAATTACCCCAAATAACTATGACACATATTCAAAGCCCCTGCTCCTCCTTCATGTAAACATAATCCTGTATCTGCTACAAGGCACACGCAGCTTGCAGCATGATCAGGAGTTCTTGTTAGTTTCCCTACAATCCTTTTTCAAAATCAACAGAATGATTAAAAAGCAAATCAACCCCTTTACAGCTCCAGGATCCTGCAGTGCTTTGCAGCCCCTAGTGGGAAAGAGGTCAACCATGGGCAGCGGTTAACGTTAGCAGGTGAATTAAGAATAGTGGAGTTATAGTCAGCACTGCTTTGTAAGGCAGCATGGATTCATTCCGCTGGTCAATGGCCACAGCAATGACTCCGCCCTGTGCCTTCCAGAGGTTACTTCCATTCTGGCCACCAAGGGAGGAGCTAGGGGAGGCAGGTCTAGACAGGCTCATGAGAAGCTCTGGATTGGGTGACTGACTCGCATGCATGCCCAATAAATGGCACGCCCCATGCATATCAATGCCAACAGCAGCAACAATGCCCAAGAGGCATAGATTCCTCCATATTTGCGTGCCAATGTCCAAGTGCCCGCCTGCAAGACAAAACAGAAACCATAGCATAAGAACAGGTTCCTAAACATATAGGACACATAGATCTATATGTATATAAATTGTTCATATAGCGGGTATATGCTACAGATATAAGGCTCAAAATCACAAAGCTTTACACAAGCCTAAGGCACTCTATTTTGAGCCATGTGACTGTAAATTTTAAATCCCATTGAACTCAAATGAAAATAACTAAAAACACATTTTTAAATCAGTATCTTTATCCTGGTGTGTTGGCTTTGTGAACTGAGCCTGCAACCTTAAAAAATGGCAAATTAAAAATACAAAAAACAAACACACAAAATTAAAAAGTATTCATAGTTACATAGTATTTGAGGTTGAATAAAGACATAAGTCCATCAAGTCCAACCTATTGTGTGTGTGCATTTATGTTTGAGCTGGAGTGTCCGTCCGTGTGTGATTTTGCTCTTAGGCGTACCTGTACCCCTGTATGTTATGGTCTCCAAGGAACTCGTCCAGGAGTTTCTTGAATGATTCCACGCTCTTAGCTGAAATCACTTCCTGCGGCAGCGAGTTCCAGACCCTAACCGCTCTAACTGTGAAGAACCCCTTGCGCCCTGTGTGTTGAAATTTTTTTTCCACCAATTTTTGGTGGTGCCCTCTGGTCTCGGTTACGGAGCTAACCGTGAACAGTTTGTTAATAATGTTGCTGTCACCATTGACTAGTTTATACAAGAAAATCATATCCCCCCTTAATCTCCTAACCTCCAACGAGAACATATATTCTTTTCTGGAAAAATATATTTACCACAAGTCCAGCGGCCGCCAAAGCAAAGACGAATCCCATTAGGAAGCAGCAGACACATCTCCTTCGTGGGTACCTCAGTCCAATAGAGGAGCTGAAGACAGAAATAGATACAGTAAAACAAACGCTCATAGCTAGGTGCCAGCATCCTTCCCCATCCTGAACTAGCTTGTCATTCTCTGACACTTACACTTTCCGGCAGTGCGGGCAGCGTGCCAGCGTCCGGTCTGAAAAATCTGTCCACTGAGAAAAGAAGAGTGGATAAAAATAACCTTTTCTAAATGACAACGGCAAGAATACAAGACAGATGCAAAGGGCAGGGGAGAAACATACTACAGCAACAATAAAAGCACAGGAATATCTGCAGGATTACACATCAGTGTCACATGGTCTTTTATACAAATATACAAATATACATTAGAAAAAAATTATCTCTAATTTATGTAGACCACTAGGAAATCAGGCAGCACTTTGTAGGGGGTGCCATTATCTAGGTAGCCTGTGGCATCTCAGCAGCACCCCTGAACCTCTAGCGCAAACTTGGTTGGGCAAACTCCAGTCCTCCAGCTGTGGTGAAAATTCAAATCTCATAATGCATCTGCCTCTGGCAGTCATGCCTTTTGGCTTTGAGTCTTGAAATGCCTCATGGTATTTGTAGTTCCACCACAGCTGGAGGGCCAGAGTTTGCCCACCCATGCTCCAGCATCTCGGCAGCCCCCCCCCCCCTCCCGACCCTCCATCGACCCAGCAGCACTGCCGACCTTCCATCGACCTGGCAGCACCCCCGACCCTCCATGGACCCAGCACACTCCCCATTAGTAAAATAAGATTACACAGCTTGTGAGGCTTGTCACCAAGAAGCATTTTTAGGGTAAGCAAACATGTTTTGCTAAACATTCAAACACAATACTTTGTCATCATATTTAAATATTGCTTTTATGTGATATGGTCAAATACATTTGAAAACAAAGTCAGACTCTCAGCATGTCTTTTAATGTATTACTTTGACATCATTTCTCCCAGTTTTTCTATCAGAGCAGCAATTACATGCTCCGAATGCTGAGAAATAGGACTGCAGCTCGATAATTTTAACACACTAGACTAGATGCTTGTTGATTATACTGAAATATAAATGGAAAAAGGATTTATTTTTAAACGCATTGGATGCATGAAAAAACGCACAGAAAGCAGAGTTGCTAGTTTATATGTCTGCACATACTAATTTGAAAACATAACACAATGACCTGATCTGTGTGTATATATATATAGTAACTGAAGGTGTTCTGCACATTAGGCCTCATTCGCACCTAAGAAAACAGCCATCACTGGAATCTTGCGGATGGGATGAGAGGTGGTTGCGAACAGTTCTGGCAGATCAGCCCATACAAAGCAATGAAAGGCTGACAGTGGCCACAGCTGTTTACATGTAATCTCCCACAGAGGGATTACTTGTGGTTAGTGACAGATGACGGCCCCTGGATGCAACATGTTTGCCTGCTGCCAGCCTCTCATTGCTTTGTATGTGATGATTGACCGCAATTGTTTGCAACCACTTGTCATCCCAGCCACAAGAATTTGCTGGATTTCTGCCATTGTCAGAACTAATCACAGATGTAAATGAGGTCTAATTTGTAGTGTTGTAGAGATCCAGGAGTGGGTCACCTGATGTGACGGCATGCTGATAAATTGTTATATACACCCAGATGTGAACAGAATTTTTAATAATAAAGTCAAGATCCCTGTGGGCAGAAGAGGATCAGCCTTTTAAAAATGAAATGCCATTTAGGCAAAACACAAACTGCAGGAATATCAAGTAATGTTATATTCTCAGATTTCCATGCTTGAATTTCGTTTCATAAAAGCAATTATTTCCAGATGAAGGCTACAAAAATATCAACAATTCAAACAATATTTGAAACGACAAAATTACCCATACCAGAAAATTGTTCTTGCAATGTCCACAGATGACTCGTACTCCGACAGGCTGTGGCTCTGGGCTGAGAGGACCAGCATGGACTGGGCCAAGGTTGATGATTCGTTTACTGGTGAAATATGACAAGCATTACTTATTTGTTCTAAATTAATGATGCAACAGTTTATTAAATATACACTGCTGTGTGTTTACTAACTCCACAGCAAAGGAAGACAGTTGCAGCCTCCATCTTCTGTGAGATGTAATGATCCTCATTTCAGAGAATGTAACAGATATATTATATTGGCCTGAAGCATCCTTCAGAATATATTGTATACTGCCACTAGCAACCAGTGATCTGCAGCAACCAAAGATGAAAAGAAGAAGGAATGGAACTGCCAGTGGTGGAAGCAGGTAAAAACAATCAGGAATACAGTTCCCTTTAAGTGACACTAAACTCAGGAGTTAGATCTTGCAATGCATTCAAGTACCTTAATTATTAACATAAATGTAACTTATTTGTGTATCACTCGGCTGTAGGCCCTCAAATCATCTCTGAATTCATACCGACACCGTCCTTCCTTCTGGAGGGTGGCTACTTTTGTTCCCCATGGTCTGTGGGTGTTGTAAAGTAACCGCTCCAAGCTCGCTCCAGTGATGGACTACAATCTTATGTTTTGTTTACTAATTTGTATTGAGATTGATACAGCCGAAGTGATACACACATAAGATAAATTTTTGTTAATAGTTAAAAAGGTATTGAATGCATTTTTAAGATTTAATTTCTGAGTTTAATAGCACTTCAAAGCTTATGTAAACCCTAACAATAAACTTCTCTTATTTGTTCTTTTTTCGTTTGTTAAAAATATCACTGAACGGAGGGTTTTGCTAGAACTGTAAATGCAAAAAACAAAATACCTGTTGATCCTGCTAGCAATCTATTCCTGTGCACACTGCAGTCTTATGTCAAGCACTGTTATTAGCTCGGTCTACATTGCCCTCCAAACAACAGAACACCTTCCCCTATGTTATGAAGATGAGGAGAGGGGGTGATGTTCTTTAGTCCTAATACTTCCTGTCCTAGGATGACAATGATGCTTTTCCATAGCTAGAGTTATTGTTGTCACCCTAAGACAGGGAGTGTGTTACAGGCAAGTAACCAAATGAGAATAAAAGGGAGAAAAATGGTACTGCAAGGTAATAACGTTTTTGGTCTTGGGAGAGATACACTTTAAGAACGGTGCACATCGGCATCCATTACTTTTAAAGCTGAATTGCAGAATAACCAAAATATTGTCTAAATACAAGAGGGATGCATATTCTAACTTGAATCTTGGTGTGCTTTGTGTGATGCTTCCAGATCTGTGCAGTAATCCAGTGTAAAACTTCCTGTATTAAAGACCACTCACTGCTGTCCCCTCTCCTTGTGCGTAGTGACTGGTCTTGTAGATGGGCCAGCTTAGTTCAGCCCACAGCTCTGCTCTTTGCACAGCTATGATGCCACTACTACATTACACTGTGTCTAAAAGCATGAAAGTGACCACAAGCTTTGCCTGTTTGCCCACATAAATATTAGCAATATGTATGCATTCCTGTTTAGTTTTTCTCTCTCACTGACTATATAGATGAGAGCTCTGCACACCTGCTGTGGCCACTCGAAGTGGTCCCATTCTTCCTGTTGGATTTTATATTTTGGAGAGGAGGTGATGGAAAGGTACAGAGATAGGAACTAAGGCAGCCAAGTAATGCCTTACACAGAACTGTCCTCGTCTGGGATTAAAAGCTGAGAAGAATAGGGACAAACACACCGGTCAGAGCCAGAGGAAGCCCCTGGCTCAGTATTTTACTGCTCGTTAGCTTTTTCTTCATCAGACAGCTGCATACTGGGCAGAGAAACCTAAACAGATTCAGACTTTAGTTTCACTTTATGTCAGTGGAACGTTTGTCATCTAACTTGTATGTTAGTCCTAGTGAGTGTAGTATAAACAGTAACACACTGTAAATAACATTCCACCTGAAATGCACTCAGTTACCCTTCCCGTGTTGTTTGTTCTCACCAGTATGGCCTGGGGCAGGCTATCCTCTGGGAGGTGACTTTACAAATTAGCAGGCAGTTGCAGGGACAACGAACATACTTCTTCCCCTGGGGGGCATTCTTTATGGGCTGCAGGAAGTAGTAAACAAACATTAGACAGACTCTGGTGGGAATAACTCTTCTTATACTCTATAGCAGGGGTAGCCAAACTTCGGCCCTCCAGCTGTGTAGCAAACACAAATCCCATCATGCACCTGCACTCTGCAAGTCTTGCTTGTGGCTGTCAGGATCTTGCAATGGGTTATGAGACTTGTAGCTCCACAACAGCTGGAGTGTCGACGTTTGGCTGCTATGAAGGCTATTTAGTACAAAAAAACAGCATTATCACAGACTGTAGAATACAACTAAAATATATTCTCTTTGCCCCACAGTGAATGCTGCCTTACTTACTGTAGCCTCATTGCAGACTCCACATTTCACTACATGCTGATGCATTTTACCCTCAACATTGATGAGCGACTGGCAGACCCTGCATGTTATCATGGGGGCAGAGCCACTTTCAGGACTTGTCAGTGGTGAATAAGGTGGAGGGTCCTCGCTAGGTAACATGGAACCATGAGACGTCGGGAACACAGGAAATCCTGAAGATTGAAAACACAACAGAAAGAAATAAAGCAAATATTTAACAAGAAGAACAAATAGTTGCAAAATAAACTTTGTTTAACTAGCAATCCAGATATCACGAGAAGAGTGACTCAGACGGTGAGAGATCCCAGGAATGTTATCTGTGATGATAAAGGACACTTTACCTTTCACTACGACTAGGGGCAAGAACATATGACTGACACACCTAACATGCACAAACAGGTCACGTCAGATCTTTTGTCTGCTGTGATGCCCACACAACGGCCATTTATTCTGCCACAGTGTGCCGCTCTGCTGACCAATATGCTATATATAGGGAATGGCTCTAGTTAATAGTGAATATAGACTCTCTAACAAACATGTGACAGAAGATGATATAATAGATAGATAGATAGATAGATAGATAGATAGGTAAAGCATGGCTGGCAAGTGATTTGCCTGACATGCAATAAATTCACAGCATTCAATATCCCTGAATATGGCCATTAAAGTCATAAGACTGAGCTGCATTGCACAATTTTAACCATATACAGCACATGAGTCGTAACCGCATCAATAAAAGTATATTATACCTGTTGACAGCATTCATGGAAACCATTTTCACACTGTCAGAGCCCTACTGATGTGCTGAATGACATAACCAGTTTTGGATGAATATAATTAAAGTGTAGGCAAACCCCAAGAATGAACGTCTCCTATTTGCATCATTGTGGTCTGCTAAATATACCACTGAAAGTGTTTTGTTAGATCTGTTTAGCAAATGCAAAAAAAATGACTTATTGACTTCGCCAAAAATTGTGAGAACTGATAACTCCCTGTGCTCTCTGCCTGTTAACAAGGAGGGGTTGTGGAGATGAGGGAGAGGGGCTGAGGTGATGAGGGAGAGGGGCTGAGGAGAAGAGGTTATGGAGATGAGGGGGGAGAAGAGAAAGAGGAGAGGTTCTAGAGATGACAGGGGAGGAGATGTGATGGAGACGGGGGGCGGGTGGAGAATGGGGGTTATGAAGATGAAAAGGGGGCAGTAGATGGGGCGGTGGGGTTGGAGATTTGAAAGAGAAGGTAGAGGTAAGGCGTTATGAAGATGAGTGAGGAGCAGGAATGTGTTATGGAGAGTTGAAAGAGAGGGAAGAGATGAGGCATTATAGAGATAAGGGGAGGGGATAAGGAGGAGAGGTAGAGAAGAGGTCTGCGTTCTATGTAATCCATCAGAAATTAAATGGAAGGGCTGACACCACATGCTTAGGAATTCAGAGCTCAGAATACACTAGGCCATAAAATACTAGGCACTTTTGGATATAGAGGAGCATGTGACTTCCCTTCTCATGTGACAGTACTGGTGCTTGGTGATTGGCTCAGCACTGTCACATGGGGGTGGGGAGTTTTAGCTTGCCCCATTAGATCTCTGGCATATCAACCATTATCTTCCCGTATATGCAATACATTTGCAATGATAAAACATATTGTGTTTTTTTTTTGCCTTGACATACAATTCAAGGAGTGGGAGCATTTATGAAAAAAAACTTCAACCTTTTTTGTAACATTCACCAGCAATGCATTTGCAACTTTGTAAACAGAAATGGACACCCGTTGGCACATGTGAATGTATCTTATTGCACTCCTTCAGTCTTCTCTCAGGGCCATAGTGAGGCACACTCCAATCCAGCTGATTCCAATTGAATGTAGCCAATGCTGATTAGTGCCAATTAGAGGTACCCATTACATATTATTCCATAAGGACACCACGCCCCTGGTTTGATGGGAATCTTGCCTTCTTCACCTTCTCCCCACTTGTCCCATTAGCCAATCCCTTCCCTCAATAATAAGCCCCGCCCATCATGTGTGTGTGGGCCGCTGCTGTTCAGCAGTGCACACCAACTACTAAATATTGAGTGATGTGGGCGTGGCAAGGAAAGCTCGCCAGTACACAATATATTTAGTAGGCGGGGTCTTACCTTGCGGCTTGTTGCTGGGGGTGGGTCCAGGACCACCGTACGGAGGAGCAGAAGGAAGAGCACTACCTGGCGAAGGAGCTCCGGGGCCCACTGCTCCAACCAAGCCTCCTCCATCCCCGAGATCCGAGAGGAGAGGGGAGCGCTCTCCATCCGCCATGTCCCTCGCTCCCACCTATCACCGGCACACTAGTCTGCTGCTGCTTCTCCTGTCTGCTGACGCACTTCTCACTGCGGCTGCGCAGAGCGCTTGCGCAGAAGGTAGATCGGAGGATTCTAGAGTGCACATGCGCAGTGGAGGGTTTGCACGTCACGTCACGTGCTCATAAATTGCAAACAAAGGTCTCCAGCTCATGTGACAGTCACCTGATTTAGTGGGTCGTTTTTTTTTTGCTGTCACGTAGCTTCATTGTAAACACACAAAACGTTAACCTGAGCAGATCATTCTTTACAAAGAAAACATAAATTGCAGCTTGCCAGTTAATTGATGTGGTGACTGCATGTATTATTTTTTTTCAAGCTAAGTATACTTCCTGCTAGTACAGTAAAATGCCTTTTGATAGTTCCAGAAATCCATGGTCCTTCCTGTGCTCATCTATAAACTACTTAACAAGTGTGTAATATAGAGGAAGAGAGATGGAGCTGTTGGTAGTCCAAATAGGGAAGGAGGGGCAGGCAGCCAAGGATGACAACACTGCCCTTCCACAGGTACAGTACACTGAATGAACGTCACACTAGGACAGTCAATGGGGGAATTAATAAAAAACGGGAGCAGACAGAATCTGGAGTAGTTGGCCATGGCAACCAGTCAGCTTCTTTGTTTAATTTTCAAACCTTACCTGAATATACTGAAAAGAGAAGCTGGTTGGTTGCTATGTGCAATGCTCCAGATTTTTTATATTTATATATACATCAGATTTGTGAATTGATGTTCAAGTATCTGTCAGTGTGAAGGTCACAATTTATTAGACAGCCCAAGAGCTTTTTAAAAAAACGCTGAAGAGTAAAGCCCCTGATACATAGTTTACTAGTTGCTATGGGCAGCAAATGAAATAAATGTTCTCTATAACTAGACAACCAGGACATATAATTGATTTTATATTATCCACAAAGGGTTAACAGCACTCTCTCAACCCTGCAGCAGTGCCTGTACCTGCTCTCAGTAGTAGTCTATGTCCGCCCTCTCTGTGCAGCAAGTAGCTTCTTCCTCCTGAGGCTACTCTAGAGATCACATGACCTTCCTCCAGGTGGCAAGCCTCGTTCTGACGCTACTCTAGAGATCACATGACCTTCCTCCAGGAGGCAAGCCTCACTCTGAAACTTTACCCACTGATATCTTACTAAGAGTAAACGTTTCAGGGAGAAAATGCCTCTCTGGCGGACGTCAGGAAATAGAGACTGGAAAGAGAGTAGCTGGTATGTATTTTTGTGGGCTTGTGTTTTTTTTAAAAGTTGGTGCATGTCTCCAGCGCACTCTCGCAACAATACAAGCTGGCAACTCTAATCTCTCTTCCCCAGAACAGTTCTCTCTGCTGCACCAAGGCCAGGTTCCGCAATGCACCCCCCTCCCTGCCAAACTTGCAGTGGTTGGGGATCTTAGCGCTGCGGGTGTGGCGATGGGGGGCTTTTGTGCAGCAGTGATGCCCTTCTGCTCCTTGCTTTGGCGTTTTGCATGCGGCGTTGAGGCCTGCATGTGGGGGATGCTAATGTTTCCGTGCAGCGTTGGAGTGGGGAGTGGAGGGGCAGCACTGTCGGCTGGGAGCCCATCTTGCTGACAGTGCTGTACCTGCAGTGTGGAGATCTTTTATCACTGAGTAGCTGATGGAGATTTGGTGGAATCTATTTAATCATTTGAAGATTGGGGTGTTTACACCCTCTCCCTGTCCAGGCCATTTTTCAGTATTCAGCGCTGCGGTACTTTGACTGACATTTATTCCGTCATGCAGCGCTGTACTGAAATTAATTTTATACAATTTTTTGGGGACAGATAGAGCTTTCTTTTGGTGGTATTTATTCACCACCGGGGGTTTTATTTTTTACTATATTAAGGAAAAATTACCGAAATGTAAAAAAAAAAAAAAACAGTTTCCCCTATATTAACCCTTTCGCTGCCAAGCCCTCCTGAACATTTTTCAAATCAGCTGGCCAAGCCATTTTTGAATTTTCTATTTGGGGACAGATAGAGCTTTCTTATGGTGGTATTTAACCTCCCTGGCGGTATAATTATGTCAGGAATTTTGTACCAAAAGCGGTACAATTTTTTGCATGGAAATTTGTTGTTTATATTGTAGGCCTGTAATTCTTAGTAAATCTTAGGAATAACTCACCTAAATCTGTCCAAACAAGAGTCCAGTAGACATCCCAGTTATGATAAAGTTTTAGACCAGGTAGAAAACAGCGATAGTAAATTAGAACTACTTGCAGAATTGAGTGATAGCGATTCGTTGGAATTTCCCGCCGGCTGTGACGCCCGAAAACTAAACTAAAAGTCAGATACCGGCTTTTATTTTTATTTTCGGGCCGCGTACAGCAGAGGACGCTGCAGGCTCGCAGGGACAAGGTGAGTGTCACTTTTCTCCAACCCCGAGTCTGGCTCGGGGTTACCGCTCCTAGCATTGAAAATTCACCCCGAGCCAGACTCGGGATTACCGCCAGGGAGGTTAATCACCACTGGGTTTTTTTTTTTTTTTTTACTATATAATGAAAAAAGTACCGAAAATTTTGAAAAAAGACCTGCGTTGTGTTATGAAATATTTATTATTACCCAAATGTTTAGTAAAATATAAAAGACGGGGTCATGTCAGGTAAATAGACACCAAACATGTCAAGCTTTAAAATTGCGAGCACCCGCAAAATCGTAGAAAACTACCATATCCAAAATTGGCCATAGGTGACGCTTCAAAAGCTTTTACCGCTCATCAGTTTAGTGTTATCAGTGATTAATGGCCCTAGAATTATTGCTCATGCTTCGACGTCCGCGGTGATATGTAACATGTGCGGCGCTATCGTCATTTTTGCACATAGGTGCACCCAACGCATGTTTTTGGGGGGAGGGGACTTTAAAAAAAAAAATGTGTGTGGTTTTTTTTTAATGTTACTTTAATTTTGTTTTGTAACTTTATTTTGTTTTTACTTTTTTTTTTCCTCTTAACGTTATTGCTATCACATAGGGGACTAAGAATGCTCTATGTGATATCTCATTTACAGTGTTAGGTCCTCTTTATGGAGACATCAGTGAACTCTAAGACCCCTAATGTCATCTAGCGACCCACAAAGAAGTTAATGAAGCAGAGACCTGCTTCACCAGTTTCTCTCCAGCTTCTATTGTCATAAAGTGACCACTGAATGTGGAAGTGATGTAATATACATCACTTCCTGCATTCAGAGAACGGGTAGGAGTTCAGAAGGCGGCCGTGTACTGATCTCCCTCCAATCTCCGGTCACAGAGCCGCCGCGCTGTTTCCGAGCCAGCACCGGGTGCTGTGGAGCTCCGGTTCCGGCTAAGAGGGGGCGCACTGAGCAGCACCACATACAATACATATGTAAACACTGACAAGCTGTGCCGCCCTTCTACTCCCTGCTGCCCCGAGCCTATGGCCTCGGTGACCTTGTGGGGAATCCGGCCCTGGCTGTCAGGCAGGTCTGGGTTTAGTCTTTACTTTGAGTACAAGGAAGACTTTTCCATATATGGCAGATAGCAGAGGTGTAGAGCAGAAGAGGCACAAGGCTGCACAATTAGATGGTTGCGCTTTAGAATGTAGAGGGAGAGGTGGCTTCAGTGCTGGCTGTAGCTTCCCCATAGGAATGCACATAAATTGGGCTTCAGTCTGGGGTGGAGCTACAGCACAAGCAGGAAAGAAATGTAGTTTTATTTCCTACTGCACAAATCTAAACAGGACCAACTGCTATGTGCACTTGGTCTCCTGGGGAATTCTAGAATAATTTTCACTCTTTCTTCTGGTGATAATTCTTCTTTAGAGAATAACTCCAGGCAGACTAAAAATGAACCCTTTCAGTGAGGGGGTAGCCCCATTGCTCATTTTGGTCTAGGGTCTTAAATAATAAAATATATATTCACCATTTCCTCAGTCCTGCATGGCTGCTAGACTGGTCCCTGTAGCCTCGCTCTGGCGGTCTAATAACCCAATGAGTCATCATGTCGTATACAGTGTATTAGATGTGAGGACTCCAAGGGACATTTCACCGCTGGTGAAACCAGTGTTTTACCAGCTTACTTATATCGTCAAAGTGATTACCCTGTCCACAAAACAGATTTTCATGCATCTAATAAAGTGTAAAAACTGTATCCCATCTTCCTTGAGTTGATTGTATCTACTCCAAACAATGCATTTGAGTCTTCCACAATACACCGCCACATGTATTAGGACTGTTCTATTAGATGAATTAAAGGTCTAGTATCGCTTCAATGAACTAACAAGAATCTGGAGCAGTTGCACAGAGTAACCAATCATCTTCTCTCTTCAGTTTGTTTAGTTCAACTTTGAAAGTGTCCAGATTCTGCTTGCTCCGGGTTTGAGAAATTCCTCTCATTGTGTAATACTATAGACCAGCGGTTGCCAACCGGTGGACCGGTCCACAAGAATATTTTGGTGGTCCCCGGGCCCGTCCGATGCCGTGCAGGCTGGGCCGCCATTGAAGCGGTGCGGAGGCTCCGGGGCTGCCTCACTGACTCAAGCAGTGGCTGTCACAAGGAATGTGCGGCTCTCAGTACAGTGCAGGCTCTATATACACACACACTCACAAACATATATATATATAGATATATAAGGACTATATTTTCAGCCAGGCAACTTCATGTATCGTTTTTTTACTATGAATATGCCATATTCTGGGATAGTGGTTGAGCCATGCAAATAATTCTGTTATGCCCCTTGGCCAACTTAACATCCCAAACTGCTTGTACATAGCACAGATACAGCACTTTATTCCAAGCTGCACACAGTTGTTTCCTGTTTGTTGGTTATCATCAGTGCAGTTAAACAATGTCTTTTGTGAAATGGGGCATGAGGACAAATGAGAAGGTATAACCGGGCAAAGAGCCTTCCCCATAATGAGGCAGCCTAGGGTTTGCACACTCCCACACACCATACAAGCGATCGGGTGAATCTATAGCTGGCCAAATGCTTGTATGTAACAGGCATTGCCAGCTGTAACAAATGGTTACAGTGTCCTGCTTGAGCGTGCTCTAGGGGTGTGCACGAGCAGAAAAAAAAGATATTTATTTATGGCAACCCGCTGTGAAGTGCCAGCCATCCATCTGTTTAATTACAACAGGCGGACAGCAAGCAGTTAAAGGTAAACACTGTAGAAGTATCACAAAATATGTTCTTGCTGAAAATACACTAAAGTTTTAAAGGAGAATTATGGGGTTAAGGCTTTTCCCCATAGTTCTCCTTAGGGTAACGGGAGGACACAAAGTAGCGTCCTCCCGTCACCCTAGGCTCAGTATACTGCGAGCTGTAGCTCGCGGTATACTGAGACGCCGCAGCTGAAGCGGATCCCGACAATAATGCCAGGATCCGCCCAGCTGCGTGACTGACAGCTGGCTCTGCCTATCTAGAATCAGAGCCAGCTGTACCCGCCCCCTCCCCCATCCGTTGCACCAGTCAGCGCTGGCGGAGCGGGGAGGGGGGAATCCAGCCGTGACAGGATCGAGAGGTGAGCGAACGCCGGTATGTGTTCGCTCACCTCCCGATCTACTGAGCCGACCTGTGACAGTCTCATTGTCACAGGTCGGCTAGAACTATGAGGTGAGTGAAAAGCACTCACCTCATAGTTCTCCTTTAATATAACACTATTCATTACCAGAGGAATTCAGGGAGCTGTCCAGTGCTGATCCTGCATGGTTAAAGGATTGGTGCTGGTAGCTTTATTTTAGGAAGCAACGGGCATTGTTGATTGAAGCATTATGCTGAGGGCTTGTTGGACCACTGGAGACCCTGACTGCACTCTCTGTCTCAGGGCAGCAGTCCAGGTCTCCAGCATGCTGCTGCCTGCTCCTTACAGTTTTAAGCATGCATACCTAATAACCCTTATTAAAAAAGCCAAAGTCTTTACTTATGTGCAGCCTGAGGGCCCATCCAAACTATGGCATTGTGGTAATGGTTACAAAAGGGATTACATATAAAACATTATATACTTTTATGTATACTTTTGTTTGCCTGTGGGTCCTTTTTATATATGAAAAACCAAGACAGAACTGAAAGTGAGAATCCAAGATTACATTTATAACTAAAAAAGATCATTTTTGTAGGTAACCAATTCTGGACGTTGGGTGTACAGGAAAAGTCCCAAGATCTAAAGTAGCATTTCTCAACCTTTTTTTCAGTCAGGGCAACCAATCAGCTTCTCTCTTCAGTTTGTTCAGTTAAGACTTGAAAATGAAAGGGGTCTATTCACAAAGCTGCCGAGGGCAGCCGAGTGAATGACCGATCAGAAGTGAAGTGAGCCGAACACTGTTCGGCTATTCACTTCAGGCTGGTACGGCTGATTTCAGCCGTATATCGGCTGAAATCAGCCGTACATCGGCTTGCTTCGTGTGGCTTCGAAACAGCCGAACATGCTCAGCATGTTCGGCTGATCCGAAGTGCAGAAGGAGTTCGACTCAGCCGATCCAACATCTGGATCGGCTGAGCCGAACCTCCGGCAGGCTTCACACTGCTGTTCGGGCTATTCTGAAAGATCCCGAACAGCAGTGAGAGAATAGCCGAATGCCGCCGAGCGGCATTTGGCTCGGCTGTTCTGCTCGGTCCCTCAGAGGCACCGAGCAGAACAGAAAAAGAGTGAAAAAAGTAGAAAAAAGTAAATAGAAAACGATTGTGCAGAGCTAGCAGTGACAGCTAGCTCCGCCCAATAGTTTCCTATTGTCCGGCGGCTCTGCTGCTGTAAAAAAAAAAAAAGTTAAAAAAATGTAAAAACTCTCCCTGGGGCCCCGGGAGCCCCCCGCTCCTGGCCGCCAAGGAGAGAAACACAGCTGTGTCTTTTTTTCTTCATTCTGGCACGAGCGATGTCAGAATAGAGGAAAAAAAAAATTCCCATTCAAAAGCATTGAGAGTTTACTATTGGCTATTTCAATTTGCAATAGCCAATAGTAAACTAGCATTGTTCCCGCCCTCTGCTGGTGGACCTGGTGGGGAACTGCAAAAGAGGGCGGGTACAATGCTAGTTTACTATTGGCTATTGCAATAGAAATAGCCAATAGTAATGTCCCAATGCTTTTGAATGGGATTTTTTTTTTTTTCTCTATTCTGACATCGCTCCGTGTCAGAATAAAGAAAAAAGACACAGCGGGGTTTTTCTCCTTGGCGGCCGGGAGCAGGAGACTCCCGGGGCGCCAGGGAGAGTCAGATGCTTGGAGATCAGTGTCCCTGGTTAGCAACCAGGGACGCTGATCTCTCTGAAAGTGGCCGGAGCCAGCCGTAAGATCACGGCTGGCTCCGCCCAGCTGTCAGAAGCAGGCTGTCGGCCGGCCAATGGCCGGCCGCTCGGCCAGCTTCGTCTTTCAGCACGGCTCAGCGCTCGACTGAGCCGCTCGGCCGTGATCGGGAGCTGTACGGGCTATTGTGAATAGCCGTACAGCACCCCCTCGGTTCTCCTGAACCGAAGGGGTCCTGGTGCCGAAGCTAGCCGAAGGATCGG